AAGATATGACCGTGACTGAATTGCGACACTATGATGGTAATCAACCTGATGGTCGCGTTTTAGTAGCGGTAAATGGTTGGATTTTTGATGTGACAAGAGGGCGTCGCTTTTACGGTCCTGGTGAGTGCATCTGTTTTATTAATAGCACCAATGAGTCAGTCATTAAGTATTCAGGCGCGACATGCATTAAACTACGTTTTTCCTAATCTGTTGCCTAATGAATTCCAATTGGAGAATGTTTATTTCAAAACATAGGTTTCTATTTATCACTAATATAATTCTGTCATGTTTAAAATTATAGTACCATAATTTTAGGTGGTCCATATGCGGCCTTTGGTGGGAAAGATGCTACTCGAGGTCTAGCAACGTTTTCTGTAACATCATCAGACAAGGAATATGATGACTTAAGTGATCTTAATTCAATGGAAATGGACTCAATCAAAGAGTGGGAAGCGCAGTTCAGGGGTAAGGTTTAAGGACCCACATTTTATAAAGCTTATTAAACAAAACAACAATACATACAACCATAAGGTTGAGGTGCATATTAATTAATTGAGTCTTAATGTAAAATAACTACAAATGAAACAAAGGATTTTATTTGTTTGACATCCATATTTATCATTTTGTCTGTTCATAAATACTATCACATATTTTAACACATTGAATTACATATATATATATATCCTTGTTGAAACAACTGTTTGTGCATGTATTTAGTGCATTACAGAAACAAGTTCAATCACCTCATCTGAATTGTTTATTTACCTTAATTTATTTTATTTTGTACTGTATAATTAGGGTAATGACACTGTAGAGCTGCTCACTTTATATAATTTGACATTCAACCAATGACTGTTTAACATTGAATGGATGTGACTATGGATACTTATTAGGTAATTGTTAAAATACTGATGTCAATTATAGACAATTAATATTTGTTGTAATGTTAGGTAGCTTACTGAAATACACAGCAGTTAGAAAACTGCTATTATTTGCAGTATCATTTATGAAGTACAATAATTGTATTGGGTTGCTTCCTCATAAATTCTCAACTTTTATGTATTCCTATATCAGATTACAAATCCACTACGCTTTTACATCCTGTGTCCTATGTGCCCTACTGATTTAAATTGGCTTAAGAAAAAGATTTATATGTGAAATAGTTTATTGAATACCATATAAGTAAAGTACAAACACATTTTTTACAGAAAACTATGACCTGGTTGGTAAACTTTTGAAGCCTGGAGAAGAACCAACAAACTACTCTGATGAAGAGACTGAGGAGACTGAGCCAGTCAACAATCCAGAGGATAAAAAAGCACAATAAAACTGGATTTAGGTCATGATTAACTTATATAGATCGAAAGAGTTTATGGTTAGAAGGGCTTAATTTAAATCTTGTATGGATCTTATAAATTATTCAGTTATGTATATTTTATTTATTAGGTATTACTCTCAGGTCTTGCAGTTACTGAAACTTTTGGCGACTTCATAAAATTGTATCCACAAGATAAACTTAGTTTGAAAACTCGCGTTGAACAGAAGATATAAATGAGAAATATCATTGTTTTTTCAAGTCTTTAAAAGTGTAAATGTTGTTAACATATATTGGAGACTATGAAATAGTTATCTATCAATTACAATACCTCTAAAAAAATAATATAACTAAAACATGGCATTTTTAAATTTAGCATGTGCTGAGATCATGTTTAAAGTCTGCTCTAGCTAATACTCTTTCCTTTTTATGAATTAAACAGAGATGGCTTTTGTAAGGTTATGTAAAGTAATATCAGAAAGTACTTACTGGATTATGCTGATTGAAGCTTTAGCAACTTATTATCATAGAGGTGTTAAGTTCATGAAATTTTAATATCACCCCTATTAAGGATTAAATGGTTGTTGTTATATTTTAACCAAGTCCTCGAATTCCAGAAATAATAAAAATTGTATTTTATGCAAACAAATTTAGTTAATTCTGTAGATTGATTCAAAAGAGTCACCTCTATATATTCTTGATGGAGTTATCTGAAGCATTTCAAATGAAGTTTATTGTATGTAATATGGTAATTGGCCATGATTGACATACTAAAAAAATAAACACTGGTATAGTATAAACACATTGATTTATGACCTTTTGTTTTGAATTTCCATGTGAACACCATTTTTGCAGTCCAATTTGTTTAAAATTACACTTCTATAATCATACTATATCTATCTCTGTTTAAAGAACATCTATATTTGTTGCTTTGTAAATGTTTTCAAGTTATAAATGTATTTATAATATAGTATATTTACAGTTTTGTGAATTGAAAGACTGATGGCGGTATGTTTATGTGAAGGACCACATTCCCCTTTGCGCTACGTTTATTATGGTTCAAGAATGGTTTTTTTCCTCACTACTAATAATGCATTAATGTACAAATTATATCTTTGTTTATTATGAAAACCATTACTTGACCCATTATATTTGTCCATTAGATTTAGCATTTTTTGTGGACGTATACCTAATAACAAACAAGTTTTGACCATCAGTACTTAAATACTTTAAGGTTACAAATAATATCAGTTATTATAAAAGTTGCTGCTCTTTGTTGTATTATCAGTGTTTATCATGTCTTTAGGGTTTAATTTTTTAACCTTTTTATTGTTAATGCGTCTCACAATTCTGCTTAGATTTAACTATTAATTAGTGAAATTAAAATTGAATTCGCCTATGTTTTTAAATTTAGATATTTTGTAATGGAGTTTTTAAGTATATTATGGACTGAGTTAGGATTGATAAAATGTATGGCTTGTGTATGATTTCCGCAAATTGCTATGTTATTGTCACACTAAAAGATGTTTTAAAATATTTAATATACTTCAAATTTTAATATTCAATAGAAAGTATTTTAGATACAGAAGTTGCTAACACTTCCATAGCCAACCCGATTACGTTTATAAAAGTGAGATGATTCTTTTTCAGCAAATGAACTAACAGTAAATAGATGTGTTACAGTGTTGTCCACCGAGGCACTTAAGCGCGAGCAGGTACTCCCTATAATTCCCAGTACTTAAGTTAGCTAGGCTAATTAAATGCGCATTTTTCATATTAAAAGAACATGCGCGAAGTTTTCCCGACCATGTCTGGTTACTTTACACTCCCATATTTATATTATGAAACGAAAAAGAACAAGTGCATGAGCAATTTGAGGAGTCTAATGATTATTTTAAGGCTTAGAGATAGGTGTTGCAAAAAAATGTTGAATTGTTTTCGATGTCATTAAGTAAGCAGATTGAACTTGTAGCAACAGAAAGTGAATGCCTTAATGATTGTTGTGACTGGAAACATTTGGTGTGTATGTTATGCTTTGGTGTTAACAAATGAAATTTATGTAATATTTATTTGAAATTTTCACAATATAGCCTCTTTTATATGATTTGTTTTTATTTGAATACGGGAAGCTGTAAACTTACGTAACTTCGATAACGATTGTTGTCGTAACTACAATGAGATTTCCTACCAAGTGTAAGAGTGTAAATCCAAAGTAAATACTATTTATTAGTAATCAAATAGATACTATATAAAGTCACTATAGCATAAAGGAAAAAAAAAAAAAAAAATATGGAATGTATCCTAAAACAGTTTCACAGAAACACAAATAATAATTATAATCACACACATGAAAGCCGGATTGTAAGATAAGAGAATATTTAGGAGATTCATCTAAGATGGTGAAAAAATACTAATAATAATCATGAAAAAAGACGGCTTGAGGAAGCATAATAATTGTTTTAATTACTTCTTCCTAAATGAAGCATTAGAGTGCGAAAACAGGTCGGCATTAATGTAAGAATCTAGAAATGAACACATTCTGTGGAGAGGTGTGCGAAACCAATAGGTTCTGGGAGTCGATAGATTAAAAGTTCTGTGCGTGCGTAGAGACCTGCGCCCGTACTCTAACTTCCAATGAGTTATTGTAGGTGTGGTCAGCCAAGCCACTACTACGCGGACTTATATAATATAAATTTATTTATTTATTCAACAATCAGAAGTCCATATGGTTATTATTGTGTTACTTACAATATTGTCTAAGTATATTCATAAAATTAAAAAGGGCGAAGTCGCTTGCTCATTAAGAAATTGGCGTCGAATTGATGGAACTTCCTCAATACGCACCTAGCTCCTAGTGATATTTACCTATTAAAGCAGTGAAAGGAACATTTTAGGGGCTATAAATTTGAAGACGATGACACAGATGTCGCCGCGGGATGATGTTTTAAGGGATCAGGAAAAATATTTTATAAAAAGGTAATTTTATCTTTAAAAAAAAACATAAGAAGTGTATAAACCTGAAAACTCATTCTCATTATCACTTTGAACATCCTAGTATATTCGGCGCTTACGACTTTTCCACATTCTGACGTCCGGCGTATTTTTGTACTGTCATTCCCATATAATAGAATCAGCATGATTGAGATTTTGTAAGATGAAAGTGTTGCAACTTTAAAAGAAAGACTCAAGAGAGATGCGCGTTGGGTACACATATACCAAAAATAACTAGCAATTTCATAAGTAATAATTATTTTAAGAACTTACTTTTAATAATAAAGTATGTATATCCTTTGTTATAAATGCAGTTTTTTTAATTTCGAGTCCGTGTGGATCCTAACCCTTGAGTTTTACATGTAAACATACGAAAAAATATGTCTCGACTTACGTCGTTTCGATTTACGTCGCGCATTTCGAGAACCTAACATGCCGTAAGTACGAGGACTGCCTGTATATAACATTTTCGTCTTTTCTCGTCATTTTATCTAAGCTTCGCAACTCAATGGGTCTCTATGACGCTCGAGTAAATCCCCATTTAGCATCGTGGGCTCCCCTACTAATGGAACTTGTCGATAAAACAAATAACTAGCGGTCCTTACTGTTTTACTGAAGTTTGAACAGATATTCAGGGTGTCGGTTTTTTGTGCGGTGTGCGGGTCGGAGACAGAAGAAAAATAATCTTAAAACCTTTTTTAGTTTTTTGAATAAAAGCTTTTAGTTTATACACTTTGCAATTAAGTACCTAAGTATCATGTGTCGGTGCGTAGCCGTAATGTTGGTACTTTTACCTAATGGAATTGGTATTTTAGAAATCGAATCGGTACCGATAAGAGGAACCTTTTAATGAACCCTAGTAAATAATCAGAACTTAAATTTGTACCAGTATTAAATCTCTGCTTATCAGTGACACTGTCCCACTATAGGTTGTTGGTTTATAACATTAATTATTGTCTTTGGTATTCCGTTTTCATTAATCAGTGTTGTCTATGACAATACTAAAAAGTACAAATATAAATTTAGATTGTATTTTTTCTATTGGAATTAAATGATCAAATATTTTTGAGGAATTTAGGGGAGCGAGAAGAAACTGAAACAACCATATATAATGACATAATTATATTATAAAATGATTTAATTACAATAAACAGAATAAGTATCATAATGTACCTATAGTACAAACAACTTACATTTACGTAAAAGCAGTAATAATATTTACATTTTGTACATGCCGCAATCATCGGACGCGGCGTTCGATACGTCGTAATACTAGTCGCGTCTCTAAGGATAAATAAATAAGGGCGGGGTCTTACACTATATGTCACACCGGTCCCGCCCGCGTCGTCTATGTACACTACAACTGTTCGACGAACTTGGTGAGCTGGTCCTGCGGCGTCATGGGCGGCAGCTGGTCGTCGGGCGGCGGATGGGGCGCGGGCGGCGCGGGCGACTGGCGCATGAGCAGCAGTTCCGAGGGCGTGGGCGGTCGCGGCGACGGCGTGGCGGGCGGCGACCGCTGCAGTACGCCGCCCGCCGCCGAGAAGTATCGCGTGGCCAGACGGGGCGCCGCCGCCGGAGGATACGCGCCCCGCATAGGCATCATGCCGCCCGACACGCCCGCGCCGCCGCCCTTGAACCACGCGTTGCCGCCCATACCCGTCACGCCGCCTAGGCCCACGCTGGACACGCCGCCTACGCCACCCACTCCGCCCACATTGGACACGCCGCCCACCTATAGTGCACATTTTTTTTATATTACACCCTTCACAGATAAGAGAATCAATTTTTCAATCTATTAAAGTCATTTTACAAAATTAATTGAATATTAGTAATTATTATTATTAACTACTTTCATTGTCTTACTATCGTAAAGTGTCTTAAGCCTGCAAGGGGTCGATCGCTTGCAGGCTTGCCTGCGAGGATATTTTATTAAAACTTTCCTATCTAGAATATATAAGGCAGTGACGTTACCTGTTGTTGTTGGGGCAACATGGGGTGCATCTGTTGCAACCTCTGCTGCGGTTGCATCATGTGCTGCAGCTGCTGCCCTTGCTGACCACCGAGGCCCACGTGCGTCACGCCGCCCACGGCCCCGCCTACCCCACCCACGGCTCCGACGCCGCCAACTCCGCCTACGCCGCCGCCCGCTTGTTGCTGGTTTTGGGCGTTCTGTTAAAAAAAATGAATGTAGTAATACTAGATTAAATAGCTATATGGATACATTAAAGTAATTACTTTTTTTCTGGGTGTAGTATTTTATTCTAAGAATAAATAAAAAAGTAGTCCGACATATGGAGATTTATATTTTACCCTACATCTGTCATGTTGTCATCTACATGTACAAATAAGTTATTATTTTGGAATATAATGATTCTCTTGAGAATGGACCTTTTTAAATGAATGAAAAAAAAAGGCTTACTATCAACAATAGTGTACCATTAAAAGCAAAGCAAACATCAAGTATTCGTCATAAAACTGTAATGTAGTTAACGTAATCTACACGGACTTTAGTAAAGCCTTTGACAGGGTACGATAATATAACCTGTAATATACCTGTGCTCTCTGTTTGATGAAGGCGGCCATGAGTGGTGGATTGGACTTGAGTATCTGCAAAATCTCGTGCTGCTGGTTGGGACTGGTGGGCGATCGCAGCGTCGCCATCAATTGCTGCAACGCCTTCTGTTGCATGTGCTGGGGTTGAGTAGCCGCTGGAGTCCCACCAGGTCGCTGCTGTAATTACGGATGTTATCGTTAAGATGATACCCGATTTTTGAGTTTAAACATGTTGTATGTTTAAAAAGTTGTTATATATGATATTGTTGTAAATATATAAAGTTTAATTATGATAAGCTATTTAGTTCCACCAAGTTATTTGAAGTCGGTTAAATATTAAAAATTACTTTTATACTCAAAAAATACTTTAATTCACAGCTCTGTAACTAAGTTAATTTAATAAAACACTATTTTGACCGGATTGAAGTTATGTATTATTATAAATTTACAACTATTTAACATAATTTTAAATGAGTGAGTGACTCACGCTGTAAAGCACGCGAAACGTCGGATAAATTTAAAATTATGTTAAATAGTTGTAAATTTATAATAATACATAACTTCAATCCGGTCAAAATAGTGTTTTATTAAAATATGAATAAAAGTTATGTTAATCAAAGACAAAACTAAGTTAATTTGCAAGAATCATTTTAAGGACTAACTTGTATCTGCTGCTGTGGCGGCTGCGGCTGGTGCGGATGGTGTTGCACATGGTGCTGCGGGTGCGGATGGTGGTGGGGCAGTCGGGCGTGATGGGGCGCGTGGTGCAGCGGCGGGGGGCCTCGGTACCTCGCCGTCCAGTCGGCCCGTGCCCCACCTGGTGGGCCCATAGCACCCTGTTTGCCGTAAGATGGCGCCTGTTGCCTCGCCGCCTCTTCTTGCACCTGCAACGTGTGCGCATTATGCGCGCTCTTTACAATGTTCCAATAGCAAGCGAATACGAATTTTTTTCCTTTTATAAAACGTTACGATGCGGGGGATTGAATTATACGTAATTGTTAATATTATTTTCGACTTTCCAGTAGTTAACACCACATAATGGTAACTTTTAGCTATAAAGAGTCACTGGGTGGTCACGAAACGTTTTATTATTGGGTACAGAAAAACGTTACGGCGCGTTGCACGGGGGGTCCCCAAAAATTGTGTGACGTAATACTTGAACGCTCCCATAGACATTTATTTGTAAAAACTTTATGAATATCATTTGCATACGATATCATATACTAAACGCAAAACAAAAGAGTTGTACATTCTGGAACCTAATTCGGGGCGCGTATAAATTATGCTAAAACAGAAAACAATTCGAAAATAAACATCCAAACTGGGGTAGTGAGCTCACCTGTTGCAGCGCCTTCTGCACGTTGTGTGGCAGGGAGTGCGCGGCAGGCTTGGCCGGGGGTGGCGAAGCGAGGGGCGCGGCGGGAGGCGAGCTCGGCCCGGCCATATTGCCGCGCGTATTCATGGCCGCCATCCGCCGCCTGAGTAGCTGCTGCTGCTGCACGCGCTGCTGTACCTGCTGTTGCTTTAGTTTCTGTTTTATACTGCTGCAGAACGGCACCGAGCACTTGCTTTCCTGACAGTGTTTCGCGTGGTAGCAACAGAGCGCGATGAGCTGTTTGCAAATCGGGCAGTCGCCCTTGGTCTTGCGCTTGCAGTTCTTGGTGTGGGTGACGACGCGCTTCATCTTCTGGCACGAGGGCAGACGGCAGTTGGCGTCGCGGCACTGGCACGCGTGCACCAGCGAGTGGATGCAGCGTTGGATCGAAAGCTTGCGCGCCTCCTGCGGGTTGGCCTGCTTCATGTCGCCCGGCGACGAGCCCACGTCGAGATCCAGGCCCAGCTTCTCCATCTTGTGGGGATGGCCCTCCTTGTCGTAGCAGGGCACGCACAGGTCAAAGTCGTCGCACACGGTGCAGTGGTAGCGCGTCTCGACGTGCGACTTGCAGGTGTTGCAGGTGTAGACGAACTTGTCCTGGCCCTGGTTGTGTAACTCGTACAGCATGCACAGCGTCGAGTAGTAGGCGCGCCGCGTCGACGAGAACTCGTAGTGGCGGTCGCGCGCCATCGTCAAGAACGCGTCCCGCCCGTCCATTAGATCACAGTTCAGTAACGGGTCGGGGTCTTGGATTGGCTGCAAGTAATTCATTTAAACTATAGCATTCTCTTCAATATTTTACTCACTTAGAACAAAAACCGAGTGACTTACAATTTTAATAAGAGTTAATTACCCACAAATGAATTGTAACAATTACTTACAGCTAGACTAGCAGCGGACTGCGCGGAATGTAGGCGGATGACGAAGAACACTTCTTTGTGTTTCTCCATGGTGGCGAAGATTTTCGCACTGAGATCGCTGCCCTGCTGCTGGTCACTCTGCTTCTTGCTGTTCTTCCTTTGGGCTGCCTTAGACTTGTTTGATTTCTTTGCTTTCTTCTGTCCCTTCTTCTTGCCGTCTGGGCCTTGCTCGCACTCCTCAGACGACTGAAATATCTAAAACAACGTTAGATCTCGCTCAAGAGGCTGAATTCTCAATCGTGATGGAATGATTTGAGACTGAATGAAAAACATTGAGCTTTTTTTTGTTAAATGAGTGTGAGTTAAACATAGATTAGTAGGTGTTTGGCAAACATATCTAAATCAAGCTAATGAAAGCGAAGGATACTGACCACTGCCTCTGCGGCTTCAGCCTGCTTTCTCTTCTCCTCTTCTTCTTGATCTAGTTCCTTGATGGACTCCTCTAGCACGTTGGGCCAGAAGTCTCCCTCAAAGTACGGCAACTCCGCTGCCGACGAGATATTGTCCTCCATGGCTTGTTTTAGAATATCTTTATAATCTAATATTATCCTCTCTATAATTCCTTTATCTAACATTTTCTTATACCACTCCTGCAGTCTCTTGGGCTTGGGTATCTTCTGTTCGGGAGGATGGCAGTGGAAGATATAGTCGTCCCCCTCCGAAGGCGGACAGGCCCATATGTGAGCCATTGTGTATCCTAATTGTTTAGCGTAATCCAAATAACCTAAGATAATTTCGTGATAGACGGCAGTCCGGTACTGCTTGGGCTTAAAGAAATGTACAGAATCTAGATATGCTATATACACTCGCCGCGTATTCGGCGATGGACTCTCGCTCCCGTATTCCTGCAACAAGTAAATTTATTTTTAAATCTAAATTAGGAACTCATACATATTGTTACGAAGACGGGTCGACTCGTCGGTCGGCAAATTTTTTCACTAGTTAGAGCGTTTTCAGGCCTGGTTATACCCCTTTGATGAAGGAATATTCTAGACCGTATTTTCTAGGTGTGGGACAAGGACGGTATGATACGCTACAGTGAGGGAAGATCGAAGTTAGACAGAGCACTTTAGCACGCCGTACGATAAGGACGGAGCAATGTGCGAAAGAGATAGCGAGTACGCACGTTCTAGAATTGTGCGATCGCTACTCAGTAGCGCTCCCGCCTAGAGAGTTCTCGAATATCGTTCAAGATTATTCCAAGGGATAAATAAGCGAGCCGAAACGCGAAAAGTTATTTCAGTTTCGAATGCGATTTCAAGAGATAAAGTGCGAATATAGTGATGAAGTACTGTGTGATGTGTGTAATTAAAGTAATTAGTGACAGTATTTTGTGTAATTAGTTGATTTCTGTGCGTAATTTCCGGTTTTTAGTGTATACAAATTCCTCGTTGATTTAATTAAAAATAAATGCTTGAAGAAATCTACGGCGTTTTCTATCCGATCCCCTAGCTCGTAACAATATATTTCTTTTTAAACCTTCACACATACCTGAACATGCATTCCGAAGAAACACACGTCGCAGCCGTCGATCTCCTCAAAGGCGAAGAGCGCTTTCGCCCGGTAAGGGAACTCTGGCGAGAGTTCATTAGAATCGACAAACCGCGATCGCATGCCAGGTTTCACTTCCACCATCTAATAATAATGTTCAGATTAGTTATAAAAATAACGACAATTAGTGTACTAGATTATATTTGACAATCCTACCAATTTCAAGATGTTTTGCACCACTTTATTTGAATCTAAATATAATATCAAAATACGGACTTGTCCAACGAAATTGAATTACCTTATCCGACGACGCCACCACCCTGATATGCACTTCACCGGCGCCAGTCTCTTTTTTCTTAAGATAATTGTTCACTCTAGTCTCAATAAATATTCCTAATTTAGACGTGGTCAGCCTTTTAGCGCTAAATTTGTTGTCTTTCCGCTTGGCTCCTTTTTTCTTAAGACAGTTTTCACAGCAGAAGCCCTGCGGCCATATTTGGTCATGATGCAGCACACAGATCTGATGCTGTTTTCTGCCACAGTCCGCGCACACCACAAACGGCTCTTGTTCCAAGTGGTCATTCTTCATCTCTTTGAATTGGTCTTTACGTATTGCGCTAAAATAAAGAAAAATTAAAAAAAATAATAATTGATTTTCTTGGTTAACAAAAAAGTAGACCGTTTTTAATTATATTGAACCGCAGAAGCAATTACGTATACCTTAACGCTTCCTTAACTGAATATTCATAGCAATAATTTAAAGCTTTCTATATTATGAATGGTATTGAAGCTACATATGAACTCTGCATTTTAAAACTATACATATAATATAGTTTTGTGAATAGACAAACAATTTATTTATTGGTTAATAAAAAATTAAAAGATACTCACGTCTGTGGTTGCAACGGGTCGTCTCCGAGCGTAACGGTGTCGCCCTGGATGTCGTTGAAGCATTTCTGGCAGAAGGTGTATCTATCGGACACAACCCCATATGCTTTTAGACTGTTTGCACAATCAGCGGTGTCGTCGTGTTCCGTGAGTGAGGTGAAGCGAGGAGTGCGCAAGGGTGCCAACCAAGGACGAGCCAAAACAAATTAGTAAGCGATGAGAACATAATGGGGATTAGTCGAGCGCCTAGCGCAAGCCCATGATGTTCGTAACCAGCACGTTGCAAAATTTCGATGGGACGAAGGTATTTCGAAGATAAACTTTGCCTATACAGATCTTTAAGGCTTAACTCCATGGAAATAGAAATAAAGATATACGCTGTATGTATGATTATTACAAATATTTTGCAAATATAGCAACAAACCTATTCAGAGTTGTTTTTTGAGCTGTAAGATCCATATAAACAACTATTATATTAAGGTGTTCAACATCGAAATTTTGATAGTGCTGGTGATTAGACAGTAATATTTTCCAGAGTGTCAAATTGTTGATGTTTTCTTGTCTAATAAATATTAACATGGTTTAATAAAAGTATTATGTTTCTAAACGTGTTGATTCACGTTTTAAATAAGCAAAACGTTTGGACACTCCAGGTAATATTTAAAGGCAGACCAACAACAAAGCCAAGTATCAGTTGTTGCTGCTATTTTACACTTGTAGCAAAAATTTCACACATTTATAAACTGCATATCAAAGCATAGGTAAAAAATATACTTAAAATTAATTAATATTATTTTAAAAATTATATCCTTCATTTTGCTGCAAGTGCTTCTTACAATATAGAGCCAAGGTACTGCAAGGATACATGAACAATTTAGAAATGGTCATCACGTGAGCTAAATCTATTACGATCAGTATAACCAGCGAGATTTAATAATAATATATATTATACACAATATTGTGTTTCTTATAAAGAGATTCTTTTGTGAAGATTAAGAACTGATATGTTGCTGATTATAGCTGAATTAGCTTAGAAGTATGCTATGAATATGATTAGGTATATTTATGTTAAAGCAACATTAAACATAATTAAGGAATTGCGAAAAGAGAGAAGTTTGAAATTGTGTGTATGAGTATTGTCATATTGGTACATTTTTTATCACATTTCAGACCTAACGAATTTTTTTACATTAATTAAAATTAGGTAACATCCAATCCACATATTTTAAATTAAGGTGTTAATAGTTATGTGCCTTATATACATATACCGAAATATTGTTTCTCATAAGCCTGCTAACTAGGCCATCGAAAACATTGCTATCATTCATGAAAACAATAACCATCTTGCAAATTCTTAAAATTTAAAATCTTTCGGTTTCTTATTATATCTCGTTTGAAACTGAACATGTTCTTTGTTTATGTTATTATTTATATGTAAAGTAAATAGGTATGTTTTTAAAATGTGCGTCTACTTGTAAACTACTTCTTTCGGAATTTTGAATTCGGTTAAAAAGACGTTTAGTGCTATAATGTTACTTGGTGTTTGTATATATAACGTGGCACCTCTGTTCTAACTTTTTCTCATTACATAATAGTAAAAAGTAGTTTTTATTTGTATTTAAAAGCACATCTAAAATTAATAAAAGGTCAATTAGTCTTTATAGTGTTCGTGTGTAAGGTAATCAAATGTCATTACAGCAGGCTTCATTTCACTCGACTAGACAATACTCAAATTACAACGTGTTTTGTTACGTGTTGGTGCTAAACGACATATTGTTCATACTATAAGGCACCATTTAATTCTCACTAAGAATTACTATTTTACTGATAAGGTTATAAATCAACGGTTTTAAAAAATATATCAGTGGCGCTACAACCTCTAGGTCGTGGCCTCAGATTTCTGAATCTGTTTCATGATCATTTTTAAATCTAATAGGCAAGTAGGTGATCAGCCTCTAGTGCCTGACACACGACGTCGACTTTTTGGGTCTAGGACGTGTCGGTTTCCTCACGATGTTTTCCTTCACCGTTCGAGCAAATGTTAAATGCGCACATAGAAAGAAAGTCCATTGGTGCACAGCTGGGGCTCGAACCTACGACCTCAGGTATGAGAGTCGCACGCTGAAGCCACTAGACCAACACTGCTCTACGGTTTTACACATTTATTTTACACTAATTTTACATAAAAAAATATCTCCCTCGCTAACTTTTCAAATAGGAGATTATCTATTCTATAATAAAAGATAATTCTTAGTTACAGTACACATTGTAAATTAAGAATAGTGATTTGCATGTTTACAATGAATTTCACAGAACATGCAGTTTCCATATAGAACATAGGTATTGTTAATTGGACATGGTGGGTTAATGATTATACTGAAATAAATTACGCAAATTACATAATATACTTAGGAAACGGCTATTGTGAAGAGTATGTTAAGCACAAAGATGTTCCAAATTATTAGTTACGATATTTGAGATTTATTATTTAATATACTAATGACGATACAACACATAGTTTTTGAATTTAAACCTGTGTGCTCACAAATTCATAAGAAACTTTGAATTGTGTTAGAATGTATTTTTTTTAATAGTATAGCGACAAAAAGGGGCTGTGTGTTTACCGGTGCCATAAAGATTTTCCGTGGTATGGAAAACAAGACAAATAATCCAAAAGTCGAGTAACTTTGACTTTTTAGGAAGTTTTACAATTTAGACTTTTACTTCCATAGTATAGCTTAAAAATTTGTAAAATTGTGACAGTCTTCAATTTTCCATCGGTTATACTATATGGTTCAATCCTATAATAACAATATACTAGATTCAGAAATGAATATGAACATTTGAAAGATTAACTCCTTTTTAAAGATGATGACAGATGATTCTCGATCTAAAAATTCTCAAAACATTTCATTTTCAATTCAAAATCTAGTCTTGGACAATAGTCAAATGTCATAAAAAGTTTTAGTTTTGAAAAATAAATATAGTGTTCGAATATAGGCTAAAACTAGATCTAGATCATACCTGTTCTGGTAGGAGAAGTACTTCGCATCCCGAGGTATAGTGCAGAGTTGCTTGCCATAACAACACAGCACTTGAGGGTTGAACGCGTACTTCCTCCCACAGCAGTAGCCTAACGACTGCATCACTGGGTCGATTTCCGCCTCAAACACTTCGGATAGCTGAGGAGGTTATTATAAAGATTATATAACAGGTAAATATAAAATTTATTTTGATATATAATGTATACTAACAGACCGGCCGAGCGTTGCTGTGGCTAAGGTTTTAGATATATTACATAGTAGTAACCTATTCAAGGGAAACGGTAGGAGAACACCAGTCATGGGGACTACCATGCTTTTTTGGTGGTAATGCCATTAAATTGTAGCTTATGTTAAACTTTCAACACAGCGCCATCTGTTAGAATTGTGACTATCAAATAATATACAAATATTTTGCAATAAAATAATATTGCGGGTATAAATTGAGATGTAAGCTATCCTATCTTTTAAGTTAGATCAAACTGCACAAGGTGTGCAAATTTGATTGAAATCGGTTCAGTAGTTTAGGAGTCCATAGCGGAAAAACAACGTGACACGTAATTTATATATATTATACGCTAAAGAGACTCACCTTAGTACAATATCTGTAGACCCGGGAATTCTTTCTATTGTAGAGCCACGCGTTCTCAAACATGAGCCATACGTCATCGACGTACTCCCAAGGGTCCTTGTATTCACCGCGGTCTAATTTCATCTTGATGGTAGACAGGTCTATCGGCTTCGTCACTATGTCAAAGTAATCGGGAATGCCCAACGCCGTCGCGTCCACGGGCTTCTGAAAGGGAGTCGACTCCGGGTCTTGCCTGTATAGCTTTTCTAGAGTTGGCAACAGCGCCTGCCTCAACTCTTCCGGCTTGAACACGAAAGGTTTCTTAGGGCCTCGGTCCACCGCGGCCGGTTCGCTCGAAACGCTCTCCGGCTCCTCTCTGATCTCTTGTTTGATCTCCTGTTTGATCTCCTGTTTGATTTCCGGCGTCGGTTCCGACACTTCCTGTTTGATCTCCGTCGCAAAGCTATCGCTTCTATCTGCCACGTCGTTTACGGGTCGCATGCCCTTGCCCCCGCACTCCTCGGGCTCTTCTTTAATCTTAGGTTCTTCGGGCTCCCGTTTAATTTCTGGAGTGGGGGGCGGATCCGGGGGCGCGGGAGGTGCCGCATGCGTCGGTGCAGCGTGAGGGATAGCGGGCGCAGGGGAGGCGTGCGGGAGTGGAACGGGTGTCGCGGGGGCGGTTTGAGGAGCGGGGGAGCTGAGTTCCCGGAACGTGGAGGTCATGAAGGGACTTGCAAGCCGTTTCATGTCAGGCTGATGAGAGGGGGAGGGGGACGCGAGCGCCGGCCCGTTGCTAGGAAGTGAGTACTGGGGGGCGGGGGAGGTCATGGCCTGCGCGAACGGAGACATGCCCGCCGTGCTCACAGAGCCCACGCCCACTGTTCCGCCGTTCGGTGTATGCGGCATCTGTTTATTAATACAATCCTGTTAGTTATTCTTTACCCATGTTACCATATCTATTAGAAATGTCAATGTAAAATATATTTTTAATTTAAAACGATATTCTGATGTAACCATTTTTCATATAAATTAATGTATTAATTACCTGATTAGGACTGGGACCCGGCGGCCCAACGAGGTTGGGCTGGTAGGTCATCCTATTTGTGGACATGGGCAGATTCATGCCAGGCGAAGGTATCCTCATTGCGGGCAAACTGGGTTGAGTGGGCATATTGGGCCTGACGCCGACACCCAATCCCACGACTCCAGGCGCAGTGGGCCTGACGCCCATTACTCCGCCACCTGACAATACGCCTGGCTGGCTCTGTAACTGGTTTTGCTGCTGCGCCTGTTGCGCTTGTAATTGCTGCTCTTTCCGCTTTTGCCGCTTTTCCTCTAGCTCCTTCTGTATCTTATAAATCTTTTCGGCGAGCAGATGGTAGTATTCTGAACGGGTACCCGCCATTTCGTACATGTCTCCTTCTACTTTTCTCGCGTATGCTACTAGGTTGTGCATACGTTTGTCTTGCATTGCTGTGGGGTCGGGCGTTGGAAAGATAGCTTGCACCCTGTATACAAATTAAAATATATATATATTAAACTTATATGTAATTGGAAATATTACGTAAACATTGTATCACAAAAAAAACCAAAATAATTTTATAATTACCCATTCATTCTACGAGTTAAAATTTAATAAATTATTTTAGCTATTTTTTACACAAACATAGTCTTTACAAAAAAGAAAATGCGTGTGAAAATTTAGTTGGTTGGTTATATGGAGGGTATGAAAAAAGAACTCACAGTTTATGAACAAGGTGGTTTCTGAGATCAGGAGTTATAGACTGGTGCCATTCCTTGGTGCCCGACACGGGGTTAGCTGTCACTGGCCCGCCGCCCAGTTGTAGAGTCCCCGTACCCATCTGTATAACAAAAATTGTGTAACACGTTGGGCATTCTTGTAAAGTTAGGATTCAATTTATTTTATAAAAAAAAAATATATTTCTACTATAAACAGAAGGTGAAGCTGTTACTACTATGAGTTTATTTTTTTTAATTATTGGAATGAATACAACGTTATATTTATTTCATGTAATAGTTCTCACCTGTTGCTGAGGCTCAGGTTGATGCGCGAAGAGTTGCTGCTGCTGATGCGGCATCACATCTGACAGCGCCGGGGGGCGGGGCGCGGCTAGTCGGGCAAGAGGGGCGCGAGCGAAGCCCATCCCCGAAGTGGGGCAAATGCCCAAACCGAGAGCTTCGTAAGCTCGCTTAAGCTCAGGCGCCGCTCCAACGCCAACCCCCACTTGGACGTTGCCCACGCCCACACCTACGCCTACGTTACCCACCGAGCTAGAGCCCGTCGAGTTCGTCGACACGCCCGCTCCGCCTGTACAACATCGACTTTATTAAAAGAGGACGGCTAACTCTTAACAAAAATACTATTAAAATATAGCGACACTTCTTATCGGTGAGAAAATTAAATTTACAGTTTTTCCCGCCTGACGTTTATCATCATTAAGAAACAACACAGGCACGCCTTATTTTCTCTTATGACCTAGGTATACATACACTATTGGATTAAAAAAAAATTATATATAAATTAGATTAATGTCTAATTATCTTATCATTTATTCAAGGTGTAGTACCTTAGTCCAATGTACGGTGACCCTTCCTTTATTGTAGCATGCTTTATTTAACAGTTTTGATAATTGCTCTATCTTAATTTTTAAAAGCTTCACTTACCTTGTAGAGGATTAACGGGCGGCAATGAGTTGGGTTGTTGAGCGTTGACGTTAACGCTAACTCCGCCCACGCCCGCGTTCGCGTTAACTCCGCTCACGCCCACTCCAACTCCAACTCCCACGCCTGTCGTCGCGTGGGACACTGCAGCCGCTACATATAGTTAATTTTAGAAGAATAGAAGTTTCGTTCATCTTAACTAATAATTTAGGTGTATAAATTAGAGATTTATGGATATGATATTTCGGATCTGGATATAGGAATAAATATAAAATTATATCGGTTTCGGGTATGTTTGGATTATCCGTTAGTTTCGGATAGTTTCGGTAACGGTTATTAGATTGAAGTAAAATATAAACACAAATAGTATGTCATAATTTAGTTTTATATATAAATAAAAATGCAATAAATTAAGGGCTGTAAAAAAACATTTAGCTTTATACATTGCACATATTAACTTACAACCTATGTATAAAATATTAAATGTTTTCTTTTTTGTGAGTAATGAAACCATTAACAAAAACCTGTCGAAACATGTCGTTTTATTTATATTTTAGACTCCGCCCTTATACGAAACTATCCGAAAGTTCTGAAACGGATACGTTTACGGATATCCGATTGTTTCGGTTACGGTTACGGAGCTCCATAATATCCCTGGTATAAATTTAACACCAAAATTATTAGTTGGCCAACGCTAGATCTACGAAGAAATTTGGTCTCTTAATTTAAGTCACCTGTTGTAGAGTGCCTATGTTATGTAATATCAATTTATTGATACAAATTTCATGTAACGGTTAATTATGTTTGAAGATAATACATAATAAAATACTGTTTATACTAGTAAATATAATAAAAATCTTACCATTCATGTTATTTGATCTCGTTCTGTCTGCTTGTTTGAGAGGTAGACAGACAGGACAGTCGTTCTTATTGCAATGTTTCCAATGATTGATAATTTGTCTTGATGAGGAACAATGAGGTACCGCGCAGTTTTTGCCCGCCTAAAATTACAATAAAATATTAAAACTACTAAAAGAAAATTCGATATTAATTATATCTGAATAATTTAATTAGCAAAGAGATATATTTATTAGTTGCAGTAAAAGTGTATTATCAAAAATTTCATACATTCTTTACTTCAAACCAATTTCTTAGCTATAATTAATTTGAAGTTACCATAGGTAGGTTAATCTTCTTTAAAGTATTAAATCTACCTCCGCACGTATACTGACCTGACAAGATATCATATGGTTCAACACGCCCTTCATAGTCTTGCAGTGAGGCAGCGTACACGTCCACGTATCGCCGTTGGACTGCGATTCTCTTCGTTGGCATTTATGCGCGTGCAACAACAGTACTAACTGTTGCTGTATCAATTTTCTCTTCTCTGGGTCTGCGATCGAACCCGTGTTCGGTTGAGTGGGAGCCGAGGCAGCTTGCGTCGCCGATTGAGGCTGTGACTGACAAATTATGCGGTCATTATTTTATGCTTCGCAATGAGGCCCGTGTTCAAACGCGAAAAAATTTACAAATTTTGTCCATATTTTTTGAAAACAGACCTCATAAATTATTAGTTTAAGAATTTGGTTTTCGTGAAATTATTGATTTTTTTTTACTATAAAAAAAATCATTTTACGAAATTTGTATAGACATTAATTTCACAGTAAAAGTCGACCCCACATTTACATGCCTTTTAAGCAAGGTTAGGAAGCCGCAAGAAGGCGTATTTATTAATGAAACTATAGCATATTAGTTAGTGCATATTATAGCTTGGATATGATATTTAGCAGACTGTCTCACCTGTCCTCCAGCAGGGGCACCGGGTGTTTGCGGCGATGGTGCGGGGGGAACTGCTTGCGCTGCCCCGCCCCCCGCTTCAGGTGGGGGGCCGAATCGTACGCCCGCTGCTCTCTGGGCGGCGGCGACACCCGCACTCGCAGCGGGCTGCCCATACGCTGGGTGATATGGAACGAGCGGGTGTCCTCCACCCGCCCCTCTAGCCCCGTGCGTCAGACCATGGACGGGCACGCCCTGCCCAAGGCCAGACCGAGTCGGCACTTGCATTCCTACACCGACGCCCATTCGGCCGCCTAGTGGACCATTCTGCATTGCCTAATAGTTTTAAGTAAATAATGATATTAAATTATGTGTTTTTAGTCCTTCTACCAAAAGAACATTAGTCATAATAAAAAATATAGACGAGTCAGACTAATTGCAGTAGCAAAATTTTCTGTTCAAAAATACTAAATTGGTAGTGCAATCGAAACTTCTATAATCTCAATATCATGAATATCATAAATAAAGTATGTGAGATATATACCATATTCAGTGAAACTGCTTAATATGTACAAAGCCTTGATATATAAAAACAGTGCAGTCTATTTAGGTCAGAATTGTTGCAAAAAAGATGATAAAAACTTCATAACATTATATTATATATTTTTTGCCTATAATTGGGCCTTTAGGTAATAATTTTTGGCAGCAGACCAGTTTTAAATTTAAAAAGAATTTTCTATGACCAGAAACTAAAACTTAACTTTTGTAAACATATTTATTTACAAATTTTACTTTTTTTTTGTAAGTAATTTTTAACTATTTAAAAACATTTTTCTACAACAACTTTGAATATATAGCAAAACATCTTATAATAGCATTTAAAATAGTAACTAAGTTTAATAGTTTACTAGTATTTTATTTTACCTGGGCATGGGGATGATGCTGTGCGTTTGGATGGTGGTTGTTACCCATATGAGTGGGTAGCTGCTTATTGACATTGTTGATGATGCCTCCGCCCAGCATACCAGCTCCACTCATATTACTATTTGTAACTACCATGTTACCACCAACATTCGCTACATTCATACCACCTGTAGATAAATATTTGTTAGTTATAACCTAGCACATAAAATTATTAAAATTATTTTCAATAATTTTCAAAGCTACCTTTTCTCTGATATGGTTAAACAAACAGTTGGATGTACTGATTTCTAGATTGTTATGACAAAATCTACTACATTACAATTACATATTATGCTTGTTTATCTATCACACCAATAAAGAAAAGCCTAAACTACATTAGCTTTATGATTTGTTGACTGTATTACAAATATAGAAATGTATTTCAGCATAATTAGTAATTATTTGTATTAGTACTTTAAATAAAACAAAATAATATTTTAATATTTGCAACATCCGTACCTTGTATAGAACTCATAGGCATATTGGAATGGAGTTGATTAGGGTGGCTTGTATTTGGCATGAGTTGCTGATGCATACCACCCATGAGATCCTTGGAGACAGAGACATTTGGTGGTGATTGGAGATTTGGACTCTTACTACCTAGACTGCCCAAACTTAATGGATTGTTGTGGCCAACTAAGCCACTCTTATTGCCCTGTGAAAAGACCAGCACACGAAATAATACATCATTAGTATATTTGTTAAAAAATGACTACAGGTTATAATTATGAAATCAATTATTATACAATGATTAATTTAAGAATATGGGAACATTAAAATGTGTTATTTGTCAATACTGGTACTTATAGCTGTTATAATTTAATCATATTAATATGTTTTTTTTATAAATTTATAGAAAAGAGAAATTATATACCATATTTAAATACAATTTTTAATATGAATCGTGTTAAAACTTGTATCACTCCCAGGTACTTACTTGTTGAATAAGATGATTGTTAATCTGTCGTTGCATAGCTGCTGTAGGGTCATCCCCATTTAGCTGTTGTGGGCCCATTTGTCCCCCAGGCCCCGGGCCTTGGGCGGGGGGGTTTTGGACCTGTTACACCTGGTTGTTCACCCCAAGAACCACCCATAAGTTCATCAGGAAGATCTTTTTCAAGGTCAAACATATCCAGGTTAGAAAACCCATCTGCTGAAACAAGTTATCATTAATTTCCATGCTATTTTAACATAGGTATAATAAGTCCTATTAAGGCCTCATATTTAATATAACTACAAGAAAAAAATATTATTGAATCTAATTGAAGGATCTGTCAATATAGAATAAAATATAATGTTAAATTAGGTTGGAAACTAGTTGATTGTAAAATAAACTTTAATATTATCTAAATTTACCAATATTCAGCTATAGTAAATAGTCAAGAGGTATAAAATTATGGTACAATGTTTATAATTTTTTATAATTATCAGAAAGATTGGGTAATACTTTTTTCATAATAATGTACTATGTATGTTATATATTCTAGTTAATTATGGGCCATATATTTTGTTACAAAATAACTGTGTTATAAAATGTGTTGATGGAAACTTAAACAAAAAGAATTAAAACATATAATTTACTGACATCTTCACACTAAAAAAGAAAATATTTGAAGAAATATCTTTCATTCACAGTACATTAATTGTCATTTAGAGATGGATTAGTTTTATGGACTATTATTAGCTAAAATAGTAATAATTATTTAATAGTTAAAATAAATTTTCATACAAATACTTATTTTTTAATTAAATTAACAGCTATATTTATAATAAATATACTATATAGGACTTTGTACTTAAATGTTAGTTTTATAAAATTATCAATATCATAATATTTACTTCATTCAAATTATTAGAGGTTATGTGTCATGTTGTACACATAACTTACATAATTTTTTTAAATTAATTAGCCATTTTTTATTAATTTTAGTCCATATTTCAAAGATATATACAATTTTGTAATAATGAACTAGTGACTTAATATTTATATAATATTATTGAATAAAAAATAATATTCTATAAAAGCATCTAACCATTTCTTTTCTTAAATTGATATAATTATACATGAAAAAAGCTAAATAAATATATAAAAAAGACAAAAAGAACAGTTTAATATATGGTTTAGTCCACTAATCCAGAAATCTGAGTGATAGTGAGATTTTTTTTATTTCATTAATAATTATAACCAGGTTGTTAAAGAACAAGAAACTTATTTAAATGCAAAATATACGTTTCTGAATTATATAAAATAATATATCTAGAAAAGAAGTACTCCTATTTGACATCAGGTTTACTAGGCAAATTTAAGAAAAAAATAACTTTGTTAAAGTGTTCAAGACATAAAAAATATTAATCATACAGAAATATACTCAAAAAATACAATTTATTTGTTTCGTTTACTCACGAAACAATAAATACGACGCAAAACTTGTGCGAGGCGCTAACAAGAACGAAGGCAAAATGTCAAAATTCACTGTACGAAGTAGTGACAGTATATTACTCTAAAATCACAAAACTTTTAAAATATGAAAAAGTACTAACCTGCTGTGTCTGATGGACCCTGAAAAGGGTCCCGAATCATTTTGGGCCGCTTATTGGGCGGCTCATCCACATGATGATCGGCCATGGTTCTGTTTACTAAACGTAAGCCGTCTTGAATATTTCGGCCCGCCGATTTAAATTGCACTTTTAAGTCTAATATCTTTAAAAAATAACATCTTAGATCGATTTATCATTCATCACAACATAATTCACCCACATCCCGATCGTCCGATGCCCTCCACACCATCGAAGGCACATATTAAAATTTCTCACTCAAGTATTCGCCATTACAAAGCTCCGAATCGAAGAGCTACACAGAGTACCCTCTCACCATCTTCCGACGGAACTAGCACAATAAATGAAAACAATATCACCAGATTTATGCTACTTTATTTAACTTATTTTAACGTTCCTATAACACGATTACACTTAACACTTGAAAATATAGGGAATGGTTAAGTTTATGATAAAATGATGTAAGAAAAAACAGAAAATTTACACGACAAATTCCGAAATACTTCTAAGTCTCTCCAGCGCAAAATGGCGGCTGTTGATGAAAACTTTTTCTACGCTTGTCAGAAAATGTCGGCCTATAAAGATACGAGCGTTGTGATTGGCCGAAACGTACCACGTGACTAACGGAAGTGCAGTCTTGAAGCAGGATCGGTCAGAATGTTCTGACGTCAAGGCGTTTCGAAACGAACTCTGGCGAATCGAGCCGAACATGATTAATTTAATATATATTCAATTTAAAAACCCAATATTGAATATTTTTCTTATAAACAGTTTTATTACAATTCAATGCAGTATTACATATAAACATAAGTTTCTATTTTGGGTGTATATTGCTAAATAAATAGTAAAATAGTTATCGGTTTTAAACTTCGCTCCACATTCGGGAGGGGTCGCCATCAATACAACGTGTCTCTAGTCTATGATTTCTAGGTCACCAAAGACAAACATACATAATTTTAATGTAGATACGAGTTAATTGGCCCGTTTCATTTAAGTAAATATATATGGTCTCTATTCTTAGTGTTAATTTAACATTTAGAAATGTGATTTACATGTTCTTAATTTCGGTAGTTATTTCGTGGCTGTAATTTTAAACATAAATTTTCATGCAACGTGTTCGCTAGAAAATTTGATAATTGATAAAAGCGGTATCTAGTGGCTGTAAATGTTCACATAACTCAAACTGTTATCGAGTCGATTCGAGTTCAATTAGCTAATAACGACTTCAGTATAAAAAAAAAACATTTTTAAGCTTATACTTTTGATTATAAATACTAAAAAATATTTAAGAATTAAATAATTTTATTTAACCGTTTACATTTCATATAAAGGTTTAACCCCCAAAATTTTTAGACTAGTATTTAAAACTTTTCGCACACAATAAAATACTAGAAGTCTTTGAGAAGCTTGCTCTTCACCAGAACCTTTGACTTTTACTTCATTAAACATTCTGTTAACATGTCGTGACAATTTAAATAAATAGTTTACAATTATACATGCTTCTTTTTCCTCACAAGCTCTTTTTAATACATTATCAAATTTTGCTAATTCAGCCACTACAACAGCAATTATATCTTCATCTAAAAAATTGGGATCACAAAAATCTGGTATTATTGCACCAGAATTTTGCTCAAGACTCCACAATCTACAATGCAGATATTGTAGTTTAATACCACTGTCTCCATCACTCTGCAAGGCTCGATTCCAATCAAATTCATAGTCCTTTGTTCGTCTTTGCTTTAAATCATTAATTAATACAGCAGTTATCCCTAAAATATCACAGGTCTCTTCATTTATTGCAGTTGGCCTTGTATCTATAATAAAAAAGAAGTAAAAACACACACAATAATATTTAGTTAAATGAAAAATTAAAGTTTTAGAACATTACTTTTTGATTGCAGTTGCTGCTCAACCATTTTTGTTTTTGCTTCATCTAAAATATCATTGAGAAAAACCACATTTCCCTGTCTAGTACTCATGCCTTTGATTCTGCCAAATTTAACATGTTCACATCCTCTAATACATTCCTTGTTTAGTCTTCCAACTATATCAATAAGAGCTGTGAAATGATCAGTTTGTGCATTATCGACAACATACAACATTTTGTCAAATTTATACTTATTATATCTGTTTAACAATGCTGCAATATCTCTTGATAGATACAGTGTTGAATTGTCACTTTTTAAGACCGTCACATCTCGATTGTTGACTTTGGCTATCTTTTTTCCACTTTCATGAGTGGTTAGTAACTTAGTATTTTCTAACTGTTGCAATATATTATTTATAGCTTTACCATTATAATCCGATTCCCATTCATAATAGTCAAATTTTATCCCTAATCTTTCATAAACTGTTTCCAACTCTTTGATAGTAATTTCTCTTATAGCTTTCCAAGTTTCTAAATTAGATTTTCCTTCTTCTATATCACTAAAATATTTTTTTGCATCATTTCTTACAGTCTCATCTTCAGATGCTATTTTATTTACTTCAACATAAATATCATACAGCAGTTTAATAGGATTTTCTTTAAGGTTGTTTAAGGTAATATTTTTAGAGTTTATTCCATATTGCAGAAGTCCAAACTGGGTACCCCAATCTCCTAAATAATTTAATCTTATTACCTCATTATGATAGTATGAATTGATATTTGATATAAAATTACCAATTATTGTTGATCTCAGATGGCCAACATGAAATGGTTTTGCTATGTTTGGAGAACTGAAGTCAATTACTATTTTCTTTGGATTCTCATTTATTTCTTGGTTATTATGTTTCAAAGAATCAAGAACATTTTTTATAACAAGAGTTTTATCCACTTGGAAGTTTAGAGATTCCGAATCCAGCCCATTTTGGGAACGTTTTAAAGCTTGTTTATTTGGCGATGCTAAATGAACATTGTAAACTTTTTCTTTGGGGTTGTATGATAAATTAATATTTGTTAAGTGGTTATAGCTATAATTATTTTTTGCCGCGAAATTTGTGACCTGTGAATAATACAGTATTTCGGAATTTAATTGAAAAGTAATCATACTCATACTCAATCAAGTAGTAGTAGCTTCAGTAGCTTACCTGTTCAATAAGCATAGATTTTAACTTAGTGCCCATGTTAACACATAGGTGATAGAATCTGTACGTATTAAATACTAAGTTTGAACACTAAATTACCAATATAATATGGTATTTCTTAAAATTTATTATTTATTTATATTGCCTATTTAATTAAAAAAAAAATAGTTTAGTGTGGCCAACTGCCAACAATTGCTTCATAACTTAATTATAAGGATTTTGGAGTAATTTGTTTCTAATGCCTTTAATGTATACTATAATTATATGAGATAACCATTATTACCTTCTTTTAATACTTTGATTGTTTGTATGTAAATTATAATTTGCTATCACATATGTGATAGAAAAAAAATAGCTACTGTGACTTTTGAAGGCAAATATATATTAATTGTAAGATTTTTTTGTTTTTGTAAGCTATTGTATAGATTTTATAGCGGGCTATGAGCACGGCGACCGAATCATGAAATTCCGTAACGAATATAAAAATCTTACACACGATGACGTAATATAGGTGCGGCCAATACGCGTTAGAGCGGGACAGAACGCATACTGCGTCTCACATCGGTCTGGCGTGATCGGTGACGTAGCGCAGGTGCTTTAGAGTGGGACAGAACGCATAGTGCGTATTCATATCTCTCTGACGAGATCGGTGACGCAGGGTAAGCGCGGCCGGTGCCGCCGCAGCCGGTATGCAAGTCTGGTAGAGTAGTAGATTGAATTAATATCAAAGAAAAAAAATACTGCATAAATAAAAAATAAATAAAATTATAATTGCATAGGTTGACAAAAAATGCTATGCAATAGCTTTACCGTGGCAGTCCCCTAGTGCCACAGGTTCTTTTTTAATATTTTCATATCCACGTTTATAAGTATGTAAGTAATTAATACAACCGGATAGTATAACACTTTTCTGTATGTTAAAGATATTTTAATATATTTTTTACGAATTCATCTTATTACAATTATTTTCAGAATTTTAGTTTTTACACAAGCCATCTATAATATTTCTGAAATATTAAGTTAACCATTGTATGCTGTCATTCTATAAAAATAAATAAATTCACTACGACAACATAAACTTATTTAACTTAATATTTCTGACTTGGGCCAGGGTATTTCTTGTAAAAATTACTTTAAAAAATCAAACTTATAATTAAAAAAAAATATTATCAGCAGTAAATTAGTTTGTAATAAAATGCTGTACTTCAAGACGTTATTTTGTCAACGTAGCGTGTTTTTTTTTTGAAATATATTTTTTACTCTAAGCTTTTATTCGTTTTATATTTTAGAATTAAAGTTTTTTATATTTGTTACTAAATCACCTAAAGGTTTTCCATGGAGATAGAATTTTCTGTAGTAAATTAATTTCTTAATTAATATGAAAATAATACCTTCTACACGTATTATGGTCAGAATAAATAAATATTAATTTATTTTAACCGGTTTTTAGTTTTTATATTATAGTTATTATAGTTAATATATTATACTCTCTTTCAAATCTATTAATTTATACCGATCATTAGCCATTCGTCAACCACATTTATAAAACTATAGGTGACAACACTGTTAATGACCAACCACAGGACCACAGTGAAAACTTACTCAAAACTGTATTATATCTACAAATACACCATAGACTAAGTTATGTGGCTTTAAATGCTAGATGCATTATTTATGCTCGTAGCTATAGCAACGTCTCACCAATTACAAAACAATAAACATTAAACAATATCTAAACTGTGGATTTAAAAAAATGTGATTTAATTAACTAATTATTTTACATCGTGATAATGTAATAGTTTTTCGAAAACTGATTAAAAAATAACGAAATTACGAAATGGCAGCTCCAAAAGTACGTTCAATCGGTTAATTAAAACATTCCTATTAAATAAAGTAAATTAAAATTACTTTTCCATTTCAGCTTTTATACACAATTGAGCAGCCCCATGGTCTTGGGGAACTTTATTTTGTTTGGCAGAAAGGTGAAGCAGGTTTATTGCTTGCTACAACTGGCACTGATGCTACTGTTGCTATTCACGATAGATCAGGCCAGCTATTAGAAAGAATAAAATTGCCTGGGTATAACTTAAATATATAATTAATTTCTTAATTTTTCGTTTTTTTATTTAAAAAAAAATTAAGATTGATAGATATATACAATTTTTATTATTAAGATAAAATTGGGCATGCTCTGGTTTAAAAATTGGTATTATAGTAATCAAATTTGTTAACACTTGTAGTTTTTCTGCAGTTTGTGTTCAGCTCTGGAATGGGATAGTGATGGTGACTATTTAGCCATGATTTCACCAAATAGCAATGGGGTGTATATCTGGGAATCTCATGGTAATAAGAAGATAAATGTTGATACTGGATTAAGAGAAGCTCCATCATGCTTGGCGTGGACATATGGAGAGCCATTGTTGGCAGTTGGGACAATTAAAGGCAATTTGTGTCTCTACAATCATCACACAACAAAGTATATAGTCCTGATGATTTTAATTTAATATAATATGTGTTATTTATATGAAAAATTTTGTAACAATATTTTTTATTTTTCAGACGAGTACCAATAATAGGCAAACATACAAAAAAAATCACATGTGCTGCGTGGAACAGAGACAGTATATTAGTATTGGGTTCTGATGACAAAAGTCTATCTATTAATAATTCTGATGGGGACACACTGCGCGTGATCACTCTAAGGGACATTCCAAATGATCTACAGTTTTCCGAGATGAAAACTGATGAAAGAGTAGCTGGAGAAAATACTGTGAGGCCTTAAATATCATTTTGTAACTATTAAAGGTTTAGAAAATATTTTTAAGGATTATGTAATATTTTCATTTAAAATATGTCACATAGGAATCTGTTTAAAAACATTTATTTATGCCTAATCCTAATAATCCAAAGGCATAGTAAACATTTACGTATAATGTGACTATATATAATATTTTAATTTTTAAGTATTTTGTAATATTGTTAGGTTTACTTTTCTTATCACTTGAGATTATTTTCAGATAAGTCTCATTGTTGGAAAGCGTACATTGTACCTATATAATTTACTCAACCCAGAAAATCCTATTGAACTGGCCTTTCAACAGAGATATGGTTCTATCACGTCATACAAATGGTATGGAGATGGATATATTCTTATTGGATTTAGTGCAGGCTTTGTGATTGCAATATCAACACATATAAAGGAAGTGGGAGAGGAATTGTTTCAAGTTAAAAATCACAAGGACAATTTGACAGATGTTGCAATAAATAAGGGGCAAGCAGCTTCCTGTGGCGATGGACAGTGAGGTCTTTTTAGTTCTTTTTCTCTCCCTTTTAATTTTTTTTTGCTTAAATAAATAATCATTATGATAATCCCAAATAATTGAAATCATACATAACAAATATTTTCTTCAAATCATATCAAAATAGAATTAATTCATATAGGTATAACCAGTAAAGAAATATTCTCATAAATTTATATTTACCTACTCAAATCAACCCTTGATTAATAAAAGGGGCGAGAATAACTGACAATAAACTCTCCGTCACACTTTTAAATAGCCAAGGTTTTTTTTAAATGTATGTAAGCACCTGCAACCATTGCATCATTCTCCTCATCACACGTTAAACCAGTTAGTTGTTGTAATTAAATAAAATATAATAACTAAGAAATCCAAATGTTTCACCTCTATCAGCAAGAGCGGTGAAATAGGATAATGCGCTTACTGAGGGAACAACACGCAAACACGTAGTATGAAGGTGAATCAAGGCAGAAATAATGAATACATAGCTAATAAATAATATATACATACAGTCAAAACCGGTTATAACGACATTGAAGGGACCGTATAGTTGCCGACGTTATATCCGATAGTCGTTATAAGCAATGTCATGTACACAAGTACAGTACATATGTATGTACATAGTTATCGATCTAGAATAGATAGGTATGGGTTATAATATGGTATGTTAATATTATAATATGTAAACGAGTCAAAAAAGAAACATAAATATTTATTACGAAATAATTAGGTACAAAAGTAATCAGTCAGTCTGTTTTTTTAGCCCAGTCTCAAATATTTTTTGCATTTTACGTTTCATACTCCTCAAGGTATGAGTATCACCAGTATCAAACTGTCCGTTAAAGGCAACAAATTTTCACAAAATCGTTACAGCGTTAAGAGCCTCGGAAATCGTTGTTGGCTGAAACTGTTCGTTGGGAGAAAGTGCGTAGGTAATAATATGCCTAAATATTCATTCAATGCTTATAAATAAAATTTAAAATCGTTTGTATTGTTTTGTTTTACTGAGACAAGAAGCGGTTGGTCGTTATATCCGATGAATATCGATAAACTTTCGTCGTTGTAAGCGATATGTCGCTGTATCCGATGTTGTTATAAGCGGTTTCTTTACTGAATAGTTTACTAGGGATTCGGACGGGACCATACAATCTGGTTGTAATAACCGATAGGTCGTTGTAAACGATGTCGTTATAAACGGTTTTGACTGTATATGTATATATCACGGGTTATTTTATTAATATCTTTCCATTTTTTTAATACAATTCACACAAGTTTCATACTGAATGAGTTTTTTACATTCCAAATATGTATGTAAAAGCCACATTTGAAAAAAGTACCTAACATATCATATTCTGAAGTATTTTGTTGTTTCTTTATCAATTAAAGCTGATTTATAGATCTCTTCAGCGATAATATCTCTTTTTAGATTAAAGATAATATCCGTATGGAATAATGGTGAAGTGTCTGGTTCTGTTACTCCGACGGGTGGAGCAGAACGTTGCGCGTGGAGTTCTGACGGCCGTTTATTGGCCACCGCTGGGAGGGCGTATTTGAACGTATACGTTACAACTTTGCCACCGTTATACGCAGCTTATGGTACAAGAGTGCTTACGCTGACTAATTTAACTGAGGTTACAGTGTATCAGTGCATCGCTGTGGGGACGAGCCAGAAAATGTTAATAAATGTAAGTAAGGGTGTAATCTGATCAACAGATGGCTCCGTAATATTTGAATGGCTTCCTACGGTTAAGGTGACTTAGAGGTTAAACCTATGGTTACAAAAATCGTATGAAATTATTTTTTAATAAATAGTCTAAATAACTTTCATGAAAAAATTAGCAGTCCTGCTAAGGTACTTAATGCCAAATCGAAAATATCTTGCTGTAATAAGTTACAAAATATACAAAATCAGTGTTCAATCCCGCCTTCGCACGGCTGGATATTTATTTTATTAAATATGTAATAGACATATTATGGTATCTAGGATTTTTTGTAGATATTGACATTGGTATGTTTTTCACACCTTAGGTTACATTGTCGAACTTATTTGAAATTAATTTTTCAATTCGGGCCAGTAGTTTTGAAGCCTATTCAATGTAATCAAATCAATCTTTCATCTTTATAACATGTTGTGTAGATTTTTTAAAGAATATTTTATGAAATTTCTGTATCCAGAAATTCTGCTGTAAAACCATTTTTTTGTCTTAATCAAGAGTCGTTCGTCAGAGATACGTATAATATAAAATAAGTAAGGTATAGGCAAAACAAAGTGTTTGTAATAAACATCATCAGATATTAGAATTGTGGCGAAAAAGATAACATTTTTCGCGTCGGCGATGTTACCTTTTCGTGTATACCACAGGCGGGGTGGGCGGAACCTACAGCCAGTCTCGCTGCATAGCCTTTAAACAAGTTATTTAATGTACGGTGCTTGCTTCTCACCTATAACATCTTTTCTTGTTTAAGAAGTGCTTAACATTCCAGCCGAACCAATTCCCCTGGCGGCATACACTTTAACAACGGAGCCTACGGCCATAGCATTAGGCGCATCACACGTATGTTGTGCTACGGGTTCCCTTGTGTGGTTCTATCCCCTTGCGGGAGGAACCCCTGCAAGACGTCAGTACCCTGGCCCTGTTGATGTTTTGAGGGTGGCAGGTCAATTTGCTGCTGCGATGTTTCAGTCTAGAGCCATGCTGCATACTGTAAGTATATTTGGTGAGTAATATAATGGTAGTCATGTTAAGGATGTGTTGCTACTAGTAATTGGGTATTTAGTTGGTTGTTATAAGTAAAAAAAGTGTAAATAAATGAGTTTGAAAACTGCTTCTCTAGGATACAGAAATGCCATGTTCCTCCTCAACTCCTCCAACCTCATTCTACTTCGTCATTCTACATCGTGTCTACTTTAAATCCCGGTTCGAAAAAGGTTGTAGTAAGTGACAGTGATTACGCCCGGGTCCCTTGGGTTCAATTTCTTGGCGACCTCCGAGGGCACTTACTTTATGAGCGTATTGAGGGCTGAGGTATTTTTAGTGCGTAGGATCTCGCTACTTCTCTGAATAGGAGAGGGCTTTGAGTGTAGAACCAGCCCCACAGTCCCTACGTCAAGTCCCAAAATCGTCTGGCCTGCGTAAGCGCATTTTCACCTCCTTAAAAAAGACCAGCTTTATAAAGGCCGGTGGTGTTGTTATTTCATTGTGAAGTCATGAGTATATAACTCAATATTAAATGTATTCGAAAATGTTTCAGATAGAAACAGCCGATCCATCTGAGCCAGAGAAGGAAGCAATGTTATTCCCAGAACCACACATGCAAGACGCCAAGATATTAGACATACATCTGACTAGCGATTTCTTTATTTTCGTAACTGATGTGAGTCTGCTAGTTTTTATTTTCTTCCGTGTTAGATTCTAAAGTTTATGAAATTAAGTAGAATTTTTACCGGTTACAAATTGTCATGTAATTAAAGGAATAATTGTTCGCATTCGAATGCCAAATTAAATTTAAAATTCCTATAACTGCTTAGTTTGAGAAATACACAGATATCTGAAATATTATTCTTATTTTTAATTTTATTTTGATTACTATACACTTTTACACAAGACTTCATTACTTACACTACTAACTATTTTTTTGTTTTACTGAGTATTAGTATTATTACATTCTTTTCCTTTTTTTTCGACTGAGGCGCAAACTAGCTGCTGTGGTCTCTGGCAGAGTGACCAGCGCTGTGGAACAGTCTGCTTCTCAGTATAATGGAAAGGAAGGGAAAAGAAAAAAAAAAAGTTTATCTCTCATATTTTTTATTTTTTTTCTTTGATTATTTTTATTATGTGTGTGTGTTTTTTTAGTAATAAATGTAATGTCTATGTCTAAGTCTATGTCTAAATAAAGACTACTACCAGAATAAAAGAGTACCATCGTTAAATAGTTTTAAAAATTAGGCCATAAAGAAAAATAATTTAAAGAATCGTTCATTGGTAATTGGTATCAAGTCAAATATAGTTCTTAATACTAATTGCAATATAAATAAATAAAATAATAGGTATATGTCAAGCACTCATTAAAATATTTATAGATAGAACTCTAATAATTTGTGTTTTTTCGTACACGTATAAAATGCCACATTTCAATTATGTATATCGTAATTTTGTTTTATTCCAGCAAGGAGACATAGAGTATTTTGGTCTCGAAGAATGGAGACAATGCGTTCGGTATAAGCATACGTGCGCAGTGTCAGCGTTATACGTGGATATCAGCGGTGCACGCGCATTGTTACTTGACGAACGACGTCGTGCGTACGTTTATTGGCCCGCTGCTGGGGAATTATGTGCAGTGCCAGATGTGACTAGGTTAGGTAGCATGTAAATACCGAGTCCTTTAGTAATAATAAATCCACATTTTTTATAAAAAAATTAACATCCATATCGACAATATAATTAATACGTATATCTGTACAGATAGCACCTTTTTTTTTTGGGCGGTAGATATTTTGGATTACCGCACAAAAATATTCTTTACAAATAAAATTACTTAACAATCCCTCTCTACAATCAATAATTTTAACTGCAGATTATTGTTTTATAATTCAAAGTCTAAGACTGCCAAATGACGAAAACTATTTGATTTTGACATATATTAATCAAAGTTAGCTCTAAATTATGTGCAGAACTGAGTTAGAACTCCGGCTTGCAACCAATGGCTTTTCTATGTGATATACCAAAAGTTCTGAGATCCAAAAATCGATGACATGCGTAGAAAATCACCATGCCTAAGAAGATAATTATGAAGACAGTGGTTATATCTTGCAAATACTCAAATTTCAGCTGCAAAGGCGTAATTTGGGACATATGCCTGTCAGACCGGAACGTGTTCGCGATTTATACGGGCGATGCCATTGATACGTATTATTACGCTCCGAGCTCTATAAGCGGTTCTCATGTGGACTTTGTGGCCAGTACGAGTCTATTGCCTGATCAGATACCGCTTATTTTGTTCTCTGGTGATGTTTATTGCTATGCTACTGGGGGCAAGTGAGTTTTACTAGTACTACGCATGTAAATTAATTTTAACGCGATTATTAAATTGTTTATACGTTTTCAGTGTTTTAGAGCTATTGTGTATAAGTGATTTAACCGGGTTATAACGATGTATTTAAAGAAAATGAATATAGTATTGTCTTTTATTGACATAACTTTTAGACATAGAAAAACACTTTTTTAACGGATTTAAAGTTATGTTTTATTATAAATTTACAATTATTTAAAGTTAAATTAAAAATTATGTAACTACTACTGTAACTAAAACGTTGCAATTACGGTTTATTTAAATTATATTTTTTTTGTGAAATTCTAACCCCTCAATTAAAAAAAAATCTAAAATACTACTAGTTCTTATCACAGTGTAACCTCTCAATTTGACAAGGAAACAGTTAAATGAGCTCATTACTCAATGACTAATTCATTTAATGAATAAAGGTGTAAATGATTAAAGCTCTTAATATTATCTTTGATTCAATAACGTGATATAAGTATCAATTAGGTATTTATGTTTCTGTCTTTATCTAATTTTACAAATAAATATGATAAAAGAAGGCCCCTAATTTGATGTTAATCAAAAATTTTATTTCCTAGCGTAATCAAAATTTCTCTGGACTCCCACAACACAAGTGGACTGGCAGAAGCAGACACGGAGCGTCGCGTACAAAATCAAAAGCAGCATATTAATAAATTGATATTACTCCGCCGATTTGGAGAAGCCTGGCTCTTTTGCGACGCCATTGATGAAGTAGAACAGTGGAGGAAGCTGGGGGAAGCCGCCATTGCTGACTTGAATGTGGAGTTTGGTGGGTTCTATGTGCAGTGCTTATTTATCGCTGTTTAATGTAAAGATAAAATTTCCTTGGATGGGCTGACTCAAGCTGAATAAAGGGTTTTGCCGCGTAGCTCTGATTGGTCTAAAGTAATGATTTTCAACGCCATCTCTTGGTCGCTAAAACTATTTCAGTAAAAAGTTAATAATTTTTATCGTTATTTATTTATATTTCCAGCAATACGCGTGTACACTCGGCTCAGCGATGTAGCAATGGTGTGGGCCCTCGAAGACGCTTCAAACGTCGAAGAATTGCCCGTCTTATGGTAAGAAGGCATATACATCTTAATATATATAAATTACCTGTCTCGTTGTTTGTCCGCTATGGACTCCTAAACTACCGAACCGATTTCAATCAAATTTGCATACCGTGTGCAGTTTGAACCAACTTAAAAGATAGGATAGCTTACATCTCAATTACCCATAATATTATTTTATTGCAAAATATTTGTTTATTATTTGATAGTCACAATTCTAAAAGAATGCGATGTGTTGAAAGTACCAACGTTTCACATAAGCTACAATTTAATGGCATAACCACCAAAAAAGCATGGTGGTCGCCATGACTGGTGTTCTCCTACCGTTTCCCTTGAATACTTTGCTACTATGTAATAAACAAAAATCTTAGCCACAGCAACGCTTGGCCGGTCTGCTAGTATATATATAAAGTTTACTTGATTATATACATCGCATATAAATTTTGTTATTTAAATTTAGTATTTCCCATATATCAAAATAGGATAATTACCTACATTAAATCAAGATTTCAAAGATTCTTGCTTATATAGTAAAGGCACTGTACCCTTCAAATCTGATTTATTTGAAACCAACTTAAGTGATCTGTATATCAGATGCTAGACTATGTGTGCTGTGGTAGGTCAAGGGATTCCTTAAGAAGTTCCTTAAGAAGAAAAGTTTGGTATAAGAAAATTAATACGTTGTAATAGTTGGTAAACTATGTCTCCTCTTGCTTGACTTCATAGTTCGTTTAATAGGCAGCTAAGTATAAAAAATCTTGAACCGTAACATCTCGCAATAAGGTTGCTATTAAAATTCACAAATTTATTATATAATATTAAAGAATCTTGCTATTAGGCTCCCTAACCTTACTACCAATTCCTATGTTAGGAGGGAAGGAAATGTATAAAAATCCTTGAAGAAGTTACATAACTAGAGTCATCTAAAAGGTATACCATTCTTTCATAGCGGATTATTATGCGCATGCGTAGGCGCAGGTGACGCGGCAGCTCGTTGGCTTGGGGCCAGTGGGGTTAATGCTGATAATGAAATGGGCCCGGCGCGATACGCTTTAGAGTTGGAAGCGGCGAGAGGAGAATGGGCTAAGGCGGCGGAAATAGCTAGAAGGGCTGCACCGACACTTGCCCCAAGTCTTACTTTACATCATGCTATGCATTTGGAACTAACGTATGTAATTTTCTTTACTTCTAATTATTGAGGGGTTTATTGGTTTATTTTATATACTATTAATGCATTTAATAACGTTATAATTGATTTTGGAATTTCTTTAAAGTTGCGAGTTATCAAGACCCATGTAGCCGCAAACCGTTAACTAATAAAATTTAACATGGAGATTCAATTTACGAATATATTTTTATATTAACCTTTTCTATTTTTTTATTGCTGTTTATTAAAAAATACATTTTGGCTGTTCCAAAATTCATCATTTAACAATTAGCTAAACATTCCGCAAAACAGTCTTAAGTTTTAAAATACTAATGTTTAAATTATAGCGCTGACTACCACGAAGCTCTAGCGACATATGAGAAAAGTGTTATCAGCGAAAATTCGAACAGCGTCAAAGTAAAGGAGCATAACACTAAATGTGAAGCGGGCATCGCCCGAATGTCTATCAGATGTGGTGACGTCATGCGAGGAGTCACCACTGCTTTAAAATATTCCCACGATGTAACCTTACTCAAAGACTGTGCACAATTACTTGAAGAAGAGAAGCAATACAGTCATGCCGCAGCACTATATGACCACGCTGGAAACACAGAAAAGGCCGCTTCATTATACATCAAACTCAAGTCATGGCTGAAAGTCGAAGCTCTCATCCCCAAAATTAATTCCCCGAGCATTCACCTACAATACGCCAAAGCTAAAGAAGCCGAAGGCAGGTATAACGATGCTCTCAAGTCCTACATCAAAGCTCAAGACTTCGAAGCAGCGATACGACTCAATCTTGACAAACTTGACGATATTGATGAGGCAGTACGTTTGGTACAAGAAACTAAATCAGTACATGGAGCTAAGATGGTAGCAAACTATTTCCAAAATAGTGATGATCCAACCTCCGCTATAAAGTTCCTAGTGATGTCCCTGTGTTATGACGAAGCGTTTCATTTGGCGAGGAAGAATGGAAAGCTTCATTTGTACGGAGAGATTCTGATTCAAACGTCCCAAGCTAGGGCTGAAGACTTTAAGAGTTTGGCTCTGCACTTTGAGGGAGAGAAGAACCATTTGTTGTCTGGGAAGTTTTATTTCCATGCAGGGGAATATAATAAGGCGATGACGCATTTGTTAAAAACGGGATCTGAGGATGAAAACGAAGCGATAACTATTGCCATTGATTCAGCCGCAGCCAGTGATGACGAGAGGCTGACAAAAAGGTGATTTAAAAATGTATTATAGAAATGTATCCAAGTGTAGGGAAATATATGTAAAGATATTCTTAGGAATGCGTTAACGATATTTAACAATAAAAAAATATTTTTTTAATACTAAATGCCTCGAGTCTGACTGGACCTTAGGTTTCTGCGATAACGGATGTTTCAAGTCGCATGGCACACATGCTTGATTACTTATTTAAAAATTAGAGTCTTTCTCTGTGTTCTTAGATATATTCAGTTGTTATACTAGAAAATATTAAATGTTTTATTATTTTGTAGGTTGATTGAGTTTTTATTAGGAGAAACAGATGGAAATCCACGTGATCCTCGACATCTGTTCCGTCTGTATATGGCCAAGAAACAGTTCAATGAAGCAGCGAAGACAGCGGTAGGCATTAATTTTTCTTGATTAAACCATATAAAAAAAATTGCCTTCCTTATGTTTTTGTTTTTTTTTTTTTTTGAAAAAAAATAAAGACAAAAAGTATCAAACAATTTTCAGGTGATAATATCAAACGCGGAATGTGCTGCGGGCCGATATCGTGAAGCAAGAGATGTCTCCCGTGGTCTGGTGGGAGCATTGCGGGCAAGGGGCCTTCCCGTCCCACGGGATTTGAGACGTGCCGTCGCTCTGTTACACTCTTATATATTGGTACGTTAATTAACTTAATTGTAATTGGTCGACAACGTTCAACCAATCACAGTAAAGCAAGACATCAGTTGTATTGTTTTTCGTTTATTTGTATATTTTTCCTGAAGCGGTAGGCAGAGACCACGTCTCTCCTGCTACGTTCCTGACATACCTCCCTCGCTTCATCCATTTTCATAACATTCGTCATTCACCATGCATGCTCGTTGGTTAACCTAAGCCTTGTATTGTTTTTTAAATGTTTCAATACCTCTGTTCCTTGGGGTAACTAAATATGAATATTTATTCTTTTCGAAACATAATATACACGGTCACTCATGGACATCACTTCATGACAAAACGTGCCGCGGTCTCAAAAGATAATGAGGCAGTACATGAAACTCTAAATAAATGATAATAATATGGTCTAATGTAGTAATTAGAATAAAATCCTCATCCACAATTCAAACCAAACATTCTTAACAAAATCAACATGTTAAAATAATTATGTTCAAAACAGCCCAAACAGTGTGACCAGATTTCATTTGACGAATCTACTGCTCGTGGAGGTTAAAAACTACTGAATTCTACCGAAAGGAACGAGAAAATACAAAAAATCTATTATATTTTTTTGCTGTTGGTTTACAACGTAAAACATGAATTTTCTTGATTAAACGATAAAATAATAAAAGTAGTAAAGATTAATTAAAGAAGCGAAGTTTTTTTAATTTAATTCTTACTACAATTTTTTTTTAAATTAATAATAATAAAATGAAACTTAAAGCTAAGATTTTTCGTCGTTATGTTGGATATTGTCATAAAGCTGTTTTGAGTCCATTAGCTTGATCATACTTTTGTCAGGATCAAATCTGCTACATCCTCCTTCCAACTGTCGTAGCCCCTCTTTTCCATGCATAATTGCAGCAACATTCTTGTTATTAAAACGATTTCTATCTTGACTTTTAATTCTATTAATATCGGAAAATATTCTTTCAACTTTGGCGTTAGACAGAGGTAGTATTGTCATTTGCTTCACAAACCGGGCCAAATTGCCATATTTTGGTTTGCTATTCGCATCGCAAATTTGGCTGACCTCACTCCAAAATTTATCCACCATAAAATTTTCAGAAGTTGAACTCGAAGTTGACAATAAATTAGACACGGAAACATCTAATTTTAATTCCCTATATTCGTTGTCAACAATTTGCATATTTTCTGTTGTAACTAAGTTAGGAAACCTTTGTAGTATTTTTATTAGAGTTCGAAATTCACCATACACTGCCTTTTGGGGATCGATAAACGACAAATCCTGCAAGAAATTATCTTGTACAGGCAGTCTTTGGAGAAATTGTTTACTTAGCTCGATCAAAAATGCTTGACATCTGTTAAGAAACTCTTCAATTTTAGATTTCATTCGAACATCATCTTTTAATAATTCCAATGTTATGGCTACGTTTGTGCCCAGGTACATGTTTTGTATAGGAAGGAAATGCATACTTGAACTGGGATCTATTGACTGAAGCGAAGTAGTTTTAATATAATTTATCTTCATAAAACAACTCAAAATGGAACTCATCATGTTTTGTATATCTGTGTCAATTTTATGAATGAGCGTCTGATCACTTTGAAAAATAACGTTAAATTTTGTAGTTATGGGTAATATAAAATCTAAAAAGGAAAGATAAAGTTTTGTTTCATCGCTGTTAAGGTGATCAAATATAAATTGACAAGTAGCATTTGCATTCTTATTTCCTAAAAACTCATTTTGAAAAAAAAGTTTTAATGCTGACCACTGCTCTATAATTCGGTGAATGCATTGATGTAGAGAAAGCCACCTGATATCATAGTGACGAAGCATATGGTGAGTTGGAGTGTCAGTAAAATTTTGAAATTCGACAAACTCTCTTTGACGTTGGCTACTGTGAGAGAAGTATGAATAAACATCTTTGACAAACAACTCTATAGAACGAGGTAATTTTTTGCATGCATAACTTACTGAAAGATTTGTTGAGTGGCAAATACATTTAAAAAAAATACAGTTTGGGTTGACTTCCCTAATTTTAGATACCACGCTATTCCTTTCGCCAAACATAACATTCGTTGTATCAGCAGCGAACCCTATTAAATTTTCTATGTTAAGGTTTCTTTCAGATAAGGCACATGTTAAACTATCAAACAAATACTGCGCAGTTTCACCTTTTAAGTCCACCATACACAAAAATTTTGTTTGTGGAGATTGCAATTTTTCTGAGTAGTACTTTATTGCTGCTGCAAGTACCTTGGTAGTACTGACATCTGTGCTTTCGTCGATAATGAGCGAAAATACTGGGCTTCTCTCAGTTTCATTTTCCAGCCTTGGACGTAATTCTGCAAGCATTTTTTCTTCGAAGTTATTGCCTAAGACGTTGTAAGCAATTGCGGCAGATTTAGTTCTTCTACAGGAAAAACGTTTTGCGATTTCAGAGTCGTGAAATGCCCTTGAAATAACTTCGCTTACGTGATCCATTACGCGAAAAGGAATATTATGTTCCACTAATGCAGCTACAATGCTGATTTCTGCTTTTTTTACTTCTTCCGAAATAGTTGATGTTTTAAAAATCGTATCAATCTGTAAACAAAAAAGTTAAAAATAAGTATGCAGGACAAAAAAAAAAGTCAAAAACTAAGCAATCTTAATATATATAAATCTCGTATCACAATGTTTGTCCTCAATGGACTCCTAAACTACCGAACCGATATCAATCAAATTTGCACACCGTGTGTAGTTTGATCCAAATTAAAAGGTAGTTTAAATCTCAAATTATAGTCGCAATATTATTTTATTGCAAAATATTTGTTTATTATTTGATACAATTCTAACAGATGGCGCTGTGTTATAAGTATCAACGTTTCACATAAGCTTTCATCTACCTTTAAGATAAGTTCTCCTACCCCTAACAGATGGCGCTGTGTTAAAAGTATCAACGTTTCACATAAGCTACCTTTCACATACGTTCTCCTACCGTTTCCCTTGAATAGTTTACTACTATGTAATATAACAAAAACCTTAGCCACAGCAACGCTTGGCCGAGTCTGCTAGTTTTAATATATCATTTAAATAAATAAACATGCATAAACACACATAGTTGTATAATAATAATTGTTATGTAAATGTGTAGATAATAAACATACTTAAAACAACGAAAGTTTGTTTTTGAATGGAAATCATAAGGTTTAGAACATAATACGGGTTCACGATGAAAGTATTAAATTTTTTTTAACAAAAATAATTAACTAAGACTTACATTCCACATATCAATGTAAGTACCTTACGTACCTTAGAAATGCCGGAATATCCTTTCATGTTTTTTATATGCTTTGATGTAGCCATATGTTCCTTTAAAGATGCCACTCTACTTAGTACTTCACAGTTGCATGCTTTACAATGAGCACTCGTAGTGTTTACTCTAGATTTAGACAACCAACTTTTAAATGAGGGATCTTGCTCCCATTCATCGCGATATATTTGTGTATATTTACGTTTCATTATATACTCGATTATATAAATTCTCAGTAAAGGTATTCCCACTAATCACAATATGCTCACGAGTCACGGAACGAATGGTTTATAGTAACGAAAATAACGAAAATTCAATAGAACTTACCACCCAATCGATGAAAGGGGAATACCCCGCATTTATTCGATGTGCCAAAAAAGTACCTACTAGAATAACTGATAAACGTGAATTCTACTAAAATATACCAAATAATTTTTACATACTAAATTCTGTTGCCAGTACCTCAAAATCTACCAAAAAAGTAGAAATCTACTAAATCTGGTCACACTGAGCCCAAACCATTTTTGTCAAAGGTCTTGGTTACTCACAGGCGACGAACAAGTTTTTTAATAATTGCAGTTTAAACGCGTTGGTGTTAACCTATGTGCTGCAAATATTAATTTTGTTGTATCACGTCACAGTTTTTGCATTAAAGTAGAACAAATATCTTTAATTTAGTAAATTCACTTGTTTAGCAAATCATTGTTTGTTTTTATAATCTTTATTCTTTGTGCATTCTATACTCTGTGGCTGATATTACTATAGTATGCAAACCGTTTTATGGTCTGGGTCTCATTTTATTGCTCCGTACATTTTTGATCAAAGCTGTTGCTGTTATATTATCTGAATCTTCTAAATTTTTCGTGGTATATACAATTTGATTATTGTTTTAAATATTTTAGAATTATTTAAAGATATAAGAACACTTCTTGGACAGCACTTTCGAAAAACTAAGTGTCACCGACCTGTGTTATTAGATTTAGAATTTTTAAACCAGCAATTGATTTTTTTAATGGCAAGATTTTAATGAGCTTGGACATAATTAAGACATTTTTGTTGTTAGGTCCGGACTCATGTGCGTCGCGGGCGTCATGATCTTGCCGCTCGTTTGCTGTTGCGTACTTCGACTGAAGTATCTTTTTTTCCCACGCAACAACGTAAGTTTAGAATTTGTGGAAGATTTATTACAGCTTATTTCTGGATGTGTTTTGCTTACAAAGAGGTTATATTCATATAATTAAGTGCTGCTTATACATATACGGACCCTATACGGACAACGATTCCGACTTTAATATTGAGTTCATGTGCCACGCAATGCTACAAATATTGATAGAACTACTGAATACAGAATACCGGCGTAGGTTTGAATACTCTCTTACTTAAAATTTACTATTAGTGAATAAAGACCATCCCTTACGACGTATTGTACCTCAAATAGCTATTGTATTTTGTCCATATCACACATTCTTAAACCAATTCGTCCATATTATAAAACGTGAACTAAAGGTAGTATAGTGTTTGTTACTATGGTTACAATGTTTTAATTTGGGTTCTCTTTGAGTTTGTAATAATCATAAAAAAATATATGTTCATGTTTTGTAATAAAGCCATTTAAGGTTGTGTTAATAATATGGCCTTAAACAAGTTGAAGTTAAGTAGATATGAAAAATTTATTTCAGATCAAGTGTCGATCCTGACGTCGACAGTGATAGAGTGCGTACGCGCAGGTCTTAAGCATCAAGCGTACCAATGGGCGAGAGTGCTCATGCAACCGGAATATCGTTCTCAGGTATGTGAACTTAAGTTATGTAAGTACACAAATACATATTTTTTTTTGAGAACAATCGAGATTTATTTTTAACGGACTTCAAAATAACAAGGGGAGGTTATTAAATCGACTGGAATTAAAAAAAAAAAAATTCTTTAGAGGCCTACAAATGCTAAGGTAAGTTAGCAATTTGGAAATTGTGTAGTTAGCTTCATTTGGTCAACAATTAATTACCTACATTGATACATGTGACGTCATCATAGAATTTTTAGCTTTTATTAAATTCTGAATGTAAAAGATAAACCTAATCTAATCTCAAAATCTGATAAAAACTAGTCGAATTCAACTAAGTATATCTTTCTCTTTCGGCTACAATGTGTGCAAAAGAGAAAAACTAGTCGTTAAAAACGTAAAAGACCAGAAGAAGAAAGAACGTATAGGGTGATATTGTGACTACTGACTAGAGATATGTTGTATAATTTACGAAATATAACCTATCGTAAAGAATGAGACATAATATAATATTATCACTAGTTAATAAGTGATAACTGTAACTAGTTGTTATACTTCTATATTTATTTAAAGTGGGATACTTAATTTACTATGTATAACACTTCAAAGGCTCTTAATCAGAAATATTAAATCCAAGTTCTATGTACGCTATCGCGCTTTACTCTTAGCTTCAAAGTGGACAACGCCATCTGTCGATGAATATAAAAACGAAATGACCAACCAAGACACGGACTAGACGGAGTAGACTATTTGTTTATTTACTATCATATTAAGTCTTATCAAAATTTAATTTTTGTAAAAAATCCCTTACACATAATACTTTTCTATATAATGTTACCATAATAAATTTTTAGATAGACCCAAAATACGCAAAGAAGATAGAGTCAGTAGTGCGGCACGGGGTACGCGGTGCGCCTCTCCCCGAGAACCCCGCCGCTTGCCCCGTTTGTGGAGCAGAGCTGGCCCCCGCTGAGCTCCATTGTCCACGATGCGAATCTGATATACCTTTTTGTTTGGCAACGGTAAGTCAATATGTATACTAGAGTTAAATTTGACTTGTATATCAAAAGTGTATCATATGTGTAACTTTTATCACCAAATACAGTTAACTAAGTACCATTACGTACGTGCGTACGTACGAGCGAGTATTAATTGCAGACATAGAAAATATGTCTAAGGCTCCAAAAGGAGAAACATCCATCGCCTTCCGCCTTTATTACTTATGATGTCATGTGGAACATAGTGTAATGGTTGCAGCTCCTTACAAAAGAGTGGCGGAGAGTTTATTGCCAGTTCTTCTCTTCCGTTCTACGCCCTTGATTTGAGAACTGGCAGTAAATGTAAAATTAGAAGCATTTCATATATATATTTTTTTGACGTTCAATAGTGTACATTGTGTTACCTTTATGAATAAATGATTTTCACTTTGACTTTTGACTTGTGTCTTGTGTACTTAACTTACAGATAGTTTAAACAATGTAAATTTTTTTTAAATTTGTTGTTATTTCTGTTGTCTTTTTTTATTTCATGTGTGCTTTTTTGTTTTGAATTTTTGAAGAGCTGTCTCCTATATAAAATATATTATATTTTTGTTAATAAATATAAATGAGTTTTATCGAATTAAATTAAAAATCACTAATTATCACAGATTTTTGTAACATTTTATAAAATTTCATCAACGATATTTGATAAATATTTAATTGTATTAAATTTTTAGGGTCTCCATATAATTAAAGATGACTTAACAGCATGCCCCGAGTGCGATTTCCCGGCAATTTATACTGAGTTTGTTGAGTAAGTATTGACACATACTGCTATATATTACTAGACATTGAGTTGTATCCCCAGAATAACTAAAACTAAATATTTTGGTATATTAAAAAAGTTATCAAAGAACTGTTTGACTATAATATCTTAAAGCCATATTTGGAATTTTTATATTGTTTTCATCTTTAATAATAAGATTCATGTCCCAAACCTATCTTAAGCTACAATCTCGCGTCGGGCACTGTCAAACGTCAAACTTTATAGAAAAAAAAATCTTTCGACAGGTGTTCTCTAGATTTTATTTGGATTCACATCGTAGTAAAAAAACCTTAGATTATTGTGCCCTTGGAACTTAACACAACATTAAGATATCCCTCAGTAGCGATAAGCCAGCACCTACTATATATTTGTTTATATATAATTACAATATAAATTAAGATTTGTATGTTTTTTTTAGAATTCTTAGAGAAGAAAGTAAGTGTCCAATGTGTGGTGAAAATGTTGATTATAGACGGCTTGTGAAGATCGATGACGTCACGTTGTACCTTGATCATGGCAATACGGAATAATTGTAAGATTTAAATTATATTAAAATGCACAATTTGTATGAAAACGGTCACTGTATTTTTGATAATAATTAAACCACCGATTATAATGTGAACATGAAATGTTTACTATGATTATTTTTATGTTAAGTAAACGGTAAGAGTTTAGATTGTAGTTCGATGTAGTTCTATAGAAGAAATTATAGTTGACGGTTGATAATATTTTTTTACTATGAAAATGTTTCTTATTTTTTGTACACTCTGTTTTACTCTAATATGTAAAGTAAAGCAGGTTGAATTTTTGAAATGGTATAGTATGTCTCCACTCCGCGGATCCAGTGCTACCACTAGGCCAGATTAGGTATATAAAATCTTTCTTCACTGCCCGATTTGCGCTCAAGGTCCACCAGACAACTTAGTCTAGTCAATGGGCCTCGTATTTGCCTATAATGTTGCATTTCTTCTGTTTCGGCAAAGGTTCGCACTCGCCATGACGCGTCTCCATTTCAATAATATAGAATTTATGAAGTACTTAGGTATTGTTGGAAATATTTAGAATATATAATTATTACGTTTAAGAATTTAACAGTCATATTCAAGCCCAAATTCTTGAAGTATTTTTCATTACTTATAAACGATGAGCATGATTTGACGCTTATAGACATCCATAGACAAACAGACAAAGAGCAAATCTAATAAAGAACCACATTGAGAATACCTATGTCTGTTTATGTGCTAAACATCGTACAGAAACACTTGCGCAGTCGCTGTTTACCCTGAATTTTATTCATCATTTGTTTCATCGTTGCTTGATGCAGTTTCTGTGCTACTGTGTGTACTAAATAATAATAAAAATATCGAGGTGAACCTTATTTTAAAATATAAAAACCTAATTTTAGTGTTCATCCATTTCTGTGATTATCTCCGTCCTATGATATGATTACGACTTATCTGATGTTTGCTTTAGCGATAACTGATAATATTAAACTTTACGATGATTAAAGAAATATTATGTACATTTTTGTGTTTTATTATAAACCTGTTATAAGTTTCGACTTTGCGCCAGATCTCTGTTTGACTTTATCATTCTAATCCGATTTGAAAACATTGTGAAATATTGTTAAGCGCTATTCATCCTAATGCAATAAAAATAATGAGGGGAAAAAGATCAAATAGTAATGGAATAATTAATAGTTATTTAATAAAGGTCTGCCAACAGAAATTTTAAAAAACTTAACATCTAGAAACAAACAAAGGAAAACTAAATTGACGACCCTTTAAGAGTTATATTTTTTTAATTTTCATTAAATTTTTAGAAGGATACGAAAAGGTAAAAATAAAACCACATATGTACATCATTAACGCGTAGCATAATGGATATTTGCATGTGTAATTACCATTTTAGTACAATTGGGTAACAATACTACACTATGTAAAAACATTTCGTCGCTCAGTCTTTCCAAATCTGACACAAATATATCTAGTTCTGGTGCAGAACAAAGGAAAGGGTTTAGTAGCGAAATCGTATGCGGAATTCGTGACAGCTAGCGGAAGACAGTTCATGCTTCACTTAGCAGGACATGCATCAGGGATACTTTTCAGGCACATACACTCTATGCAATGCTGGAAGCAGGCAGTCTGTTCAATCCCTCAAAACATTTACTGATAAGAAGATTGCCGATTGCTCTCTCCGTCCAAGTTTATCAATATATTTCATTATCCCCTACGGAAAAATTGTCCAGAGTAAACGCAGATGGGTATGAAAAGGAGTTATATATTATAGTAATAATAGCATTTACGCCGGCCTTAAGAACCGTATTTGTACTTTTTCTATCATCAACTTATATTTTCATTCACAAGCTCCTACCTAGTGTATCATAAAGCATCGTCGTTGCATTGTCCGAAAATTCTTTAGAGTAACGCATAACGAATCCGACACGCCTATATGCATCAGCCAATGAGCGAACTTTGTTCGCGAAAAATACGACGAAGCACAAAGATTACCTACTCCCTGATATTTAACGGTACTGACCCTACTCAATTACCTTTTTTAAAAGTATCGGTGATACTTTTAGGAACTAGAAAAATAAATCCACTATCACTTTTCAATATTAAATTATAGTTTATTTTCGACCATTCGTCTATTGAAGGCGCGATTCGTGGCCAATTTCTGGTGCACATCGTTGTTTCTTCCCGGAAGAACGATATATATATAGTAAAAGAAATATGAACGTAAAACTACTACGTTACGTACTTTGTTTTAAATAAAGTTACATTTATTATTAAAAGGTCTTTCATACTAAGTACCAAACGGTATAAGTTACGGGGTTATGATATACTTATTGCCAAAAAGGATTTTATATTGGAATCCAGTGTTTGTAGACGCGCGACATTGTTATTTACCAAATAGCATAACTAAGACCGTTGTTGCTCAAATGGATCTAGCTATCAATATGTATTTGTATTATACGAGAGTTTACTAGAACGTCCTGCATGGTTTTTTAGACGTATAAAATATGGGTTTAAGTAAAGGATTATTACTATTATACACATACTATGGGTCTACAAATAGGTAGTATAAGAAAACACAAAATAGTGATGAAACATTTAATTTTCATTTGAAAGTATACCAAGTTGTAGTTACACGTCCGTTACTGAGATTCAAATGAAATGAAAACAATTGGTAAATATCATACAAAATTACGAAGAGCCCGACACACGATTGGATATTCCCTAAAAGATCCAATTAGTTTTAATAGTTATCAAACGAACTGTGCTAGTTATTCTGTTCACAATTGAAGGATCCAATATTTAATAACAATCAAATGACAGGCTCGACGTTAATATCCCAAATACTCTATATCAAGTATTGCCCTAATATAATTATCACTACCTACCTATGCATTAAGTAGACAATATACACTTAAAATAATGACAAGAAGATTAACTCAATACACCAAAAATAAAATAATTGTGCTAATAAAGCTCTAAGGCTATTTCGACTCGTGCGCAACTAAACTAAGTTGGGTTTCGCTACTTCTAGACAAAATCATTTCGTTCGTCAATTCCCAAGTCACGCTTGTAGAAAATTCTATTGTTTTTATAAATTTAGTCCCCAACTTTCATATCAAATCCTCATTTCCTATATAGCAAATAACAAAACACTGAAAAAATTGTAAAGACATTAATTAAATGAAATCGATAGAGTGATAGCTATATTTATTTTGTAATAGCAAAAGAAGACAATATTAGGAGTTATGTTCAACAGTTTTGTAAATTTTCTTGTAGAAAATTGACTCAACACGTCAACATAGTACAAGAGACTAAAAATCGAGTCTAACTTTAATATTCATATAAAAGTGGTTTTGGTGTTTTATTATTCGTTTATTATAAGTTTTTAATGCACGAGCGACCATAAGTATATAAATTAAGTTAACTGGGTTTTACCGAATTTCAATATAAAAATGTAATATACAATGGAACGGATAAATCGAATAATGCGTAGTTTTCGCGAACACAACTCTAGACGACCGCAGCCGTCGGCGATTCTCGTCAAAAGAGTGGACTCAAACGAAACACGTTATGGACGAATGAAATTAAATAGGACTCTCTCTCTCTCTCATATATCATCGTGCTTATATTTGTCATTTTCTCAATATAATCTGATGGCCGGATATTTTGTTATACACTCGTTAATTCCACTCTTAACACGTATTTATAGCTTTCGTAAAATATTTACAAATATATATAAAAATATTTAAAACATCAAAGACGCCATGGCACTCGGTTGCTAAAGTAGAAATTAAGATACATAATTAAATAATTAGATTCAATACGGGAACGGCTCGCACCGGACTCTACAAATAAATAACAATAATAGAAACCGAATCGATTTATGAAACCTATTTTAATGCTATTATAAGGGAATGTATAAAAATTAGTTTCGACTATATCAACGCTAACCTCAACAATAAATACTATAAATCTTTGGTTTCATTTAGTCATTCGATTACAAAACTTCTTATTTTCCATCCATTACGCGCGATCGGCGTTAGACTAATCGTCTCTAGTCATAAGAACCTATCAAACGTAGCTCGCTTCATAAAAGTGCAATTATGAAAAACCGTGAAAAAATAGCGCTCGACGTAGAAAACGCTGAAAATTTGGCACCTTTCGCCCGCTTCCCGACTACTGGTCGCACACGCATACTCACACGTATACGTGTAACCGCACGTTTACTGCAGATGAGCCAACTTGGGCAGAGCGGCGACCACTCGCACCCGATCACTGAACTGGGGGGGCGGCGCCAGCACCGGAGCCGTGGGGTCCGCCGGGCCCGCCGGCTCCTCGGGAGGCGGGGGCAGTTCGGCCAGAAGCACGGCGGCACGAGCCCTCCGACCTGGCGCTTTATCTATGTCCACTCCCAGACGCTCGGCTGCCGACCTCCCTCGCGCGCTGCCCACCGTCCCTCGCAAGAGCGCCGCCGTCGCTCGTTTCCGCGTGAGGGAATTATGCCTCTGCATAGGAGGGGGAGGGGTCGCGAGGCTTTCGGACGAACTGTGCACGGGTTCTGTACTGATCACGTCATTCGAGGACTTCACCGTGACCGAGCTGCAGAAAGATACTTTGTCTCGTCTCGGTGGACGCGCTTGCGCTTCTTGGTCGGATGAGACTCCAGAGGATGAATTGTCGCCGTCGTCTCTCTCGGCGATACCGAGTTCGTCACCGCAGGACTTTGACGATTTAAGTCGCGTTCTAATCTTTTGTATTTCGTCCACAGAGAACGAGTGCTGCATGGAACTCGATCCGGAACTGCTGCCGCTAGAAAGTAACAGCTCGTTAGAAGGTGTATTTATGTTTTATTTATTTATAATATTTAAAGCCCATATAACGTCACACACATGTAGTTGAAAAGCACAGAGATGCCCTTCATAACGACAAAATGAACACACAAATAAGTTATGCTTTTTTATGTTAAGTGGTATTTGGTAAACACACGATGAATGTATAGAACGAAGACAGAATGGTAAAAGCACCCCTAATTAAAAAGAAAGAGTACCTTTATTATAAGACTAAATGTAACTAAGACAATTAATGTCCACATCATTCTCGTAAATAATTGTTGAGTATATGGGGTGCCTGTAAGTCGGAAAAAGCTCCAAATTAATATTTAATTAAGTATTTATATATTCGCCAAGTAATTATTAAAAAATCTAACGAATGCTTAATATTTAAAAAATACCGTTTTTAGATTTTATCAAATTTGGGTCCCGTCTATAATGGAGTATTTTTCAATATCCCGTAATAAAAAATCAACTATAGGTATATTTAGTTTGGTACCTGGTATTGCTGTTAGCGCTGGTCTCTGCGACGGGTGGGTCTGCTTTTAGCTTGTGTTCGTCCTCATCAGACTCTGACATGCTGTAGTCCGGCTCAGGGATAGGGGGTGCTGGAGTTGAGTTCTGTAAAAAAATTACGGTTAAGTACATTTGTACTTATGTTTGTGTATGTCGTACCAAAAGAAAAATACTAGTAAAAAGTGGGTTACATGTGTGTCTACTCTATGACGCGATCCGGGTCTACCGCGTTATAGGTTGACTAAATTGTATTAAAAAAGTAAGTCAAATATCAAAAGAGATCCAATCAATATTTAAAGGTAATAGTATACGTGGAATTACTGAGTTATATATACCTGTCTCGCAAAGGTCTTGTGCAAAGCGATGGGCTGCGCGTATTGGTGAGAGCTTTCTTCCGCTGATAAAGCGCGTGACCAGCCGCGTACTGCTTTACGAGGTTGCTGGAATCATTTAAACATACGTTGAAGGCGGCTTTTCGTAGGTTAATAGAAATCACCACGCTACGTTGCTACTACAAGTAATGGGAAAATCATTTCAAGCAAGTAAACAATAGCTCTCTAGATGTGTCGATCTGATGATACTTGAGATATTATAAATACACACAAAATTCGTATTAATTATATCTTTACATAATACTGTGTGCCCTCTATAAACTTATTTTAATACACTTATATATAGAAGGGAATAGAATCGTTTAAAGTTTCTTAAATACACATACCTCAGTGTGCGGCCTGTATGCAACCTGGGCGAGGTCTTTAGGCGCCGCATATAGCTTAGCGGGCGCTGCCGGACGGAACGATGACGTCACAGCCCCTGGAGGAGGAGGCGCAGGCGCAGAGGGTGGTGGGGGAGCACGGGACATATCTGGAAAGCACAATTGTTATTTAAGAGAGTCCCTTATATAAATGATTCTATATATTAGTTGGCAGGTAACAACAATAGGTAATAAAAAACCCTTTACGAAGTGTCACTTTTTAAGCCATATCCTATTTATGTCTTATTAAGGACTTTAATATACCTATTATATTATCTAAGGGACTTACCATTAGCGTGTACGTCTTCACTAGAGCGCGTTCGTGTGGGGCGTGCGGCGAGCGCAGCGGCCAAGTCAGGAGTCGAGTGGAACTCGCGTCTAAGCGTCGCGCTGCCGCCCGCACTGATGCTGGCTGACTTGCTCCAGAACTAGGAAAATTTGGAAACGTTTATAATCTGTGCTAGAATCAATACAAATCTAGAATGAAGAAGAATCGAGTCAACCACACGTGGGGCCTTGCCAGTTCGTGGTTCGACTGCTCGAGGACACGTAAATAAATTATTAGTATACTATAATATACCTTGCCCTTAGCCCTCTTCATATCAGCGACGGAAGCATAGACCCTTGTAGGGATTCGGGCAGGTGATCCTCCAGGCGACGCGCATCCGTCTTGGAATGCTGATCGAGTCATCATTGCGCTGCTGCCACCCCTAAAATAGTTTTACCTCAAATAAAATTGAATGATATATAGGTACGTATTGGTCTTTTTATTACGAGTATTGTTTAAATATTTAATTTTGAGGAAACACTTTTTAACCGGATTAAAGTTATGTATTATTATAACTTTACAATTATTTTACATAATTTTAAATTTAACCGACGTTTCGCGTGCTTTACAGCGTACGTTGTCACGGTGACTGAAGACAAAAGGTGTTGAATGTCAAAAAAGTATCACAGCTGTAGAAAAAGTTGCATTATCTGTATTTATTTCCCCGGAGTTGGTATCGACTAAAAGATGGAGGGTTTTGGCAAAAATGGCTTACGGTGTCCTTTATTTTCGTGAGCCATTAGCCAGAGCCACGCACGCTGTAAAGCACGCGAAACGTCGGTGAAATTTAAAATTATGTAAAATAATTGTAAATTTATAATAATACATAACTTTAATCCGGTTAAAAAGTGTTTTCTTCAAACGTGTAAAGGTTATGTTAATAAAAGACAATACTATATTTCATTTTGGTTACATGGCGTTTTTTCACTTTTAAAGGTCTATCATGTGTGCAAAAAGAGTTTTGTGATGTAAAGAGCCATTTGAAAGAACTTCTCTAAGAATACGTACGCGGCGTCAGCTCCAGCTTGACGTTGGAATAGTTCTTCTAACTCAGATGCTGTGATACGAGAAGAGGCAGGTCGTTGTCGAATGCTGGCTGTACGAGGCGCTACTGGTGTACCCAGACAAGGGGTGCCATCTGAAATAGGGATTTTATTGATTATATTACTATAGATTGATGAGTAATAATGAGTGTCCATAATAAACCTTTTCCTAAGATACATTTATCAGGAATATTGTACATATAAGTATTGGAAAATAGGAAAGCGATAAAATAAATGTTTCTGGGGTTCAACTACCGAGTGTTTTAAACTAAACAATTTTGAAACTACGTTATCTTACGTTATCTATTATAAGACTAATTGAACTACGAACTGATTACTTTGTTGATTTAGTAACAAATGCATACTCACTATTACTTCCGGGGTGTAATTGTACGGATTCTGCTGAAGACGATTTTCCGGCTACACTCAATGGCTCACAGGACTCTTCCTTTTCGCCGCCATTTTCTAGAATATTATTATTATGATTTTAGTATTAATATAATTTGATAATACTAATCTAAAATGTATGTAATTTTTTATCGTTAAAAAAAATTACGTTGATACAGATTTTAAGAAAATTCAACTTTTATTTATTCTGACTTGTTTGTGTTTAGAGGAATTATGTTCCGATATTTACTCATATTTGTTTGATAACTGCTAACTAGCATTACATACTCAGCTACGTCATTAGATCGGGTTTTCGAAGTCAAATAATATGACATAATCTAATCATTAACAAGGCATAAAAATAATCTTACCAAGCCCCGCAACCATAGACTTGGCTCTCGCGCGACCAACGCTAAGTGTAGTGCGTGGGTCACGACGGGGCGGCGCCGGCGCAGGACTACGACCTGCAAAAATGAGGAAATTTAAAAATCTATAATAAGCGTATAATTATAAGAACCCAACCCACTCCAGAATTAAGCTATCAAATGACACAGACCGGAAATCCTGAGTTAGATTTATGATAAAACAATTATTTATTTTAAGTATGGGAATTTATTAATTATTTATACCTCCAGCACCCTTCCTAGGCAGTGTAGCAGCATAGGGTCGTCCGCTGGTAGACAGATGACCCTGAGACTTGCTAGGGGGGACCACACAAGTCTCCGTGGCTACTGAGCTCAGTGATACAACGGTCATAGAGACCAGAGCTCCAGAGCCTCGAATCAGCTCCACTACATGCTCATGGGACGCGCCTGAGACGTCTTCGCCGTTTATCTGTGAACATTGGTCAGACATATAGATTTACGAGGAAATATTTTTTTTCTGTATTATGGTATTTTAAAGATTTAACTACTAAGGCATCCATTTTATTAAAGATTTGCTTAAACAATCATACATAAATGTACTAGATTTCGATGTTACATAATTATTGACACAATCATATTATTTGGCATACGATGCGCTAAAGTTAAGTCCTGCTTGACCTTTGCTAACTATAGTAGAGCGTCTCTCACGCACGTTTCAGAATGATACATAATATACCGTGTCTTTTCTATTATGTTGAGTCAAAAAAATTACTAACGTAGCACATTGCAGCTAAATTTCATCTTACGTTTAATACAAAATACAAATTTGAAGAAAAATTCCATACCGCTATAAGGAAGTCTCCCTTCTTCAATCCTGCTCTATCAGCAACGCCACCAGCATCCACATCATCTAGATACTGCAGTCCAGGACATCGCTCTGAGGGGCGAAGCTCCATTAGTGGAGAAGAAGCCTTCGCACCGCGAAGTACAAAACCGAAGCCCCGACGGGCTCGGTGTAGCACCACGGTTCGTGTTTCCATGTTTCCATACCTGATATGTAACAAATTGTATTTAAATTAACATAATTCACAATAACAGATTTAGTTAACGTTTTTAAGGATGGACTGAAGCTTTACGATATACGTACAACAATATTCTCATGTACATAACCAAAGCGTTTGATAGCCTACACATACAATTATTTTCGCCAAAAAGAGGAATCCAAAAAAATATAATCTCCCAAAATCAAGAAACAAATAAAAGTTAAAAGAACCTTTCTAAATATATTTTTTGAAAAATCGAAATGCATGTTGACCGTAATCCTAATGTCGAGTTCACGAGGAAACACTTCACTTGTTTTGAGAGGCACATTGAGGCAACTGACCAATGTAATATGTTTGAACTATCAGCTATATTGTCTACTGTTCTATAATGTTTATTTGTTGATATAAATTTGTTAACCTCTGATGTCATAATCTTTATTAAGACACTAATTGTTTGTAACCTCCAGTAGGTTATATGGTGAGCTGATGCCAACACATCTGAAGATTTTTCTAAATACTATGTTTTTCCGACATCAAAGCAATAGTTTATTAATATTCCATAATTCCATTCTTGATCGTAGTATAATGGTGTCGCAAGATTGAAGCTGCTTTATTTTTATTATTTACTTTAAAATAGAGAAGTACAAGCAGTGGATCTTATATGCGTTGAAATGAATACAAATTAGGTAAGGTAATAAATTCGCGTTAATAATTTCAAAAGTTTCAATTTTAATATACGAATAATTTACTTTTCTGTTATTTTCTGTTCTGTTAAACATAATGCGTGTTATTTTTTACTATGAGGTGTATTAAGTAACACTTGTTCCTAATTAGCAATCGCTTTACTTACGTTTTCTTTACTCTGGGAGCTGTAGCACTGTATGTCTTACTGAGGCCCACCTCTCTCCGACCACTGACACGAGAGTGGTGCACAGTACTTGAAGAAACCTGTAAAATATTAAAATAGGTTTAGTTCATTGTTATTATATTGCAGTTGATTCAAGTAAAGTTGTTTTTCAAATTACGGTAAATTATCAAACAGCTATTTTAAAAAAAGTTCTTAAGCAAGTTTCTTTGCTTTTTAGTTTAGGGCGTGTTGTTGAACGTCATAATATTATTCTTATACTAATACAAACCCTTTTTTCATATCAAATTTTGCCTTTGGCTTCTGACAATAAAATACGAAGACTTTGTAAATCGTTAAATTCTAAATGTTACGAATTCCAAAAACGAATAAAGAACAAAGGATTACGCACAAAATATAAAAAAACGTTCCTATATAAATCTACATATAAGTACCTGGTGTATATGTGCGTTTTGTCTCAAGCGAACTTCTTGCACACAGTGCGGAGGGAATAGCCCTGTAGCTCCAGACCCTCGGACCCGACCCTCAAGGAAACCATCGTCTGTTGAACCCGTTACTGAAAATTGTTCAATAAGGCTAGTTTTTGCACATAATGAGATTGTGAAATTTTCACCAGAAACTCTAAACGAAACTCAAGACTAATGTTAGGAAATCTTACCATTAAATCACCGTACAGACAACGGACTAAAATTATATTTCAATTTTAAATATTAGTACTTTATTATTATTACATAATAATAATAATATTACTTTTTTATATTAATTTATAATATTAAAATGTTAAAACGAAATTTTGATATGACATTATTCACAATGTATAATTAGTACGCCACATGGGCCATATAAAAGTTTAATATCCAAGTCTCACTTCTCCCGTCGTACCTAACATTTTCATTTAATATGTACCTTCAATAATGTCTCCCTGATTCAGTCTTACATGCCCAGACTGTGCGGGCTCATAGGGCTGTAGACATACAAGTGTAGCACCCGGCGCCTGTAGCGAACACGTGGTAGTGTCCGAATTGCTGGTACCAACCCCACTCGAGTCCGAGATGATGTCGCTAGTGTCACCCAGGCTCTTATCTGTCAACATGGGTCGCCCTGGCGGATAAATTCAGCCGGCATCGGCTTAGCTGGCTTGCGTATACGTGCGGCACGGATTGAATGTGATTTAACGTGCACGCCGTTGTTAAGTGCGTGTGTATGTGTAATAAGGCAACCACCAACACACAAACGTTCTTAAATACCATTTTATACAGTAAATTAAATTGAATTTTTTTATATTGATCACTTGTAAAACACACGTGGGAACTAAAAGGGCCCTAAGTAGGAAGAAGCGTAGAAGCGAACGGTGATAACATCTAACAGAACATGCGATGATGTGCATGGTGATGGTTGTTAGACCTCCATGTTTACCTGTGATGATGCTCGCGTCGTCTTCGTGGCTCGGGTGGCTGGCATCACTAATGCTTGATGATGCGGATGAAAACGGTCGTTCGAGACTGCAAGGCGAGTTGGTTGAGCCCTGAGGCCGTCGCAGTAAGGCATCTAGGTCGGCCGGAATCCGAGTCGACGAGGCCAGGGAGGACCTATCTCCGGCGCTCCACCATCCGCCCCAAGCGGCGGAGCGTCTCTTCGGGTTAAACCGCGGCGGACCACGAAACGGAACTGAAATTATTTCGTTAACAACCGAACAAAATAATAAAGTGCGTACAAAACAATTTAAATGAATCAAATAAATTAAACGTGCTGAACATAAAATATAATACCTGTCGTATATGCGTGTCCCATACTTTGTATATATACAACCATCACCATTATGAAAGCAATGATATAGATAGATGAATGATGGACATGCAAGAAATAATCTAATAAATATACTAATTATTCGGTTTTATTATTCTCGTCACATACATTTTATAAAGCATGTTATTAAATATACTAGATCTAAGTCTATATCATTAGTTATTATTATTATCATAAATTTATATATAATACTTAAATCTAAGACTTACTTATGAAGCACCAGTGAAAGCCATGCAGTATATTAAATACAGTTTAACTTACCGACTTCGTCCGTTTTGTAATTCTTTATAACCTCAGCTAATTCTAAATTTCCAGCGATTACAGCAACCTGGAAGTAAAAATAAGGCTGATAAAGTTCTGACTCTTTTAAGCGCTTAAATACTCAAAACGATATGTAAAATGGTATAGATTAATTACGCTAATACGAAAAAGCTTCAAGCTCAAACTAAGACACAAATTCTATGCAATGTTAAGAGAAACAATTCCAAATATAGATAAGTTTTTAGCTCTAAATTTGATGACTTCGATTTATACGTGTTATAAATTATGTTTCTATTCAGCGAGTATATAAAAACATTATATGATATACCTGTTTTTTATTATTTATTTAACCTCAAAATCGAAAAAATTTCAGTATAAAATAAAACCTGATATGGTGTCTGGTTAGCATAATTCAAGGACTCCTTGTCGCAGCCCCTGAAGAGCAGTTGTCGTGCGCATGAGTCTTGTGCGTTGACTGCACACACGTGAAGCGGCGTGTTACCAGATGCATTACGGCTGTTCATGTCAGCCCCGTAGAATAATAAATGGTCCAGGTGTTGGACCAGACCGTTACGACACGCCTGGAAGTTGTAAAACCAATATTAGTATCATTCTACTTAAAGATTTCCTTATTTAAATACTTTATTGAATGCATATCTGTAATTTTATAAGTGTGTGTAAAAATAGACCTTGGCGACACGTTAGAGAACGTAGTGAATCTGTATACTCGTATATTATTGCAATAATACTATATAAGATATGTACGTATCGGTTTTCCAAATATATATATTGGGCTTTTATTAAATATATTTCTAGGGTTTATATCATTTGTTTCTTTCCAAATAACACGTTAACACACAACTGTAACTATGCACTAAGCTTTTTAAAAGGTTACATAAAACTGCAATGGACAATACATTTAAACATAAAATTAAAATTCGCATTTCATTCCATAAAAGAAGTTTTATATAAATTAAGTAACTATTATATAACCATACAATATAACATTACCTGATGCACTTCCTGCCATCCTTGCAAATCGGTAGCCCCAATAGTTGCGTGATCATGAAGAAGCGTTTCACACAATAACGGATCAGTTTTGTTTGTCACAGAGAGGTATAAGGGTGATAATCCCTTGCCATCTTTATAATTAGGTGACGCGCCAAGTTCTAGCAGGGTTTTCACAGCTTCTAGCGAGTTCTTTTCAACAGCTCTATGCATGGAAGTGCTTCCATCCTTTGTTCGGTAATCGAGCAAGGCCCCGCCATTGACAAGGGCGATTAATATTTTTGCAGGTGTTTTTAGGCCGGCCGCTATGGATAAGGGGGTTTCTGGAAAAAGATTTATTTTTGTTTAAATAAAAGTAAAACTATACATTTTAACATTAATATATTGTATTTGACTTAATAAGTCAACTGTTTATCTCTGCCACGATGCCTTTTTGTTTATTATAATATTCTTAACAAATATGTAGAGAAACTATGTAATCACTTTAGGTAATTTTTAATATAATGCGTCGCTTAGCATAAAAGTTACATGTAAGATTTCACCAACTTACTATTCCCCTTCACAACATTGCAAATCTTACATGATATTGCAACGCAAATAGTGGATCATAAATCACTTTTGAGAGAAATATGAGTAACAATTAAAAAAGCGTTAGTGTTTGGTTTGTATAGAATTATCCACAGTCCACCTCAAGGCTACCTACATCAATCTCGGATTTTATACGCCTTAATTGATACGATTCACAATAACATGTCATTTATACATGGAATTTTGTATTTTATTGTCGATGTATTACGGCTCATATCCGGATACAAGATAATACGCTGATAAAGAGAGCATTTATCATAGGAACAGAACAATGGTGCGTAAGCTATTAGATGAATAGCTACCGTTTAGGCTTTGGCTAAGTAGGTGGTCATATTTCATACTGTAAATGGGACGATTTCTAGAGAATGAGTTACTTGACTCAACTTTCGGGTACAGCTTTAAGCCATTTTGTGGTTGTTTATGTCTTAGAAATCTATGTTAATATTTTGCAGTGAAAATTTTAATTAGCTACTAAATCTTTAGTGTATTAGAATTTCATTATTAGCACTGCTTAAGTTGGTAAACGTCTAAATATTTTATTATAAAGTTACATATATATATATCTCTTAATAATTAAAAGCGAAAACAAAATGTAAACAATCATCGCACACTTGAAGCCCATATGAGCCCTTTAGTTTTTACCATTGTAATTTAACATTCTCGTTTCCGATAATGTCCAATAACATAAGTGTCACTTACGAACTCTTCAATAAGTCAAGTTAGTTTTTTGTTAATCCAGCGTCGAAATACTAATAATGTTATGTTAGTTATAAGCTATGTTTTAAACAATCAAAGCCAGTAGGTTACAAACGAAGTTTTTTATTTAATTTATATCTGGATATATCCATACAACGACCGCCACCGAACTTAATTCATGTTTCTCCTTAATTAAAACATTTAACTTTATAGACGGCTATATAAAACGACTTAATTTTACTATGTAATCAAGATTTAGAACCTTCAGTCCGAAAGTAGGGTTAGTGTGTCATAGATGATATCAGATGAGAATCGCAATATTAATGCAACGAAGCTGGCTTAATTAGACCACATTGTATTTCTCTTTACATAATGCCCATAGTACTATATTAATTATGTGAAGTGTTGCGTCAACTCTGCTGTTGTAATAGGGTATTGTCTTTCTTTGGCTCACCTTTATCGATTTGCATATTTTTAAATATTACTAGGAAGAAGTGAATTGAAAGATATATAGTGGCGGCTTAGTTCCTTGGTTTATTATAAATTTTATTAATGCGCAAATTATTTTAATACAATAAGGTATTGACAGAGAGAAATTTATATTTCGGTTTGGAAGGCACAGAAAAAAACTGATTAAAAAAAAACGTGTGTGTACCTACTTGTGTGTACGCGTTAGAAGTTATACTTCTTTGGCGAATTAAGTTAAAATCTTTTCAAAAATTTTATTCTACTAAAAAAAATGTTGACTATAGCTAACTTCTGGGTGTCGGGTTTTTCTAACGGTGAGTGCGCGCATCGTAAAAATTTACCCTCATAATTTTTCCCTAACGCGCCAAAAGAAGTATGACTTCAAAAAATGGATTGATTTTACTTTATTGTTATCCTTATAACTCGTTTTAGCATACACACGGACGTGGTTAAACATTATAAAGGAAACGAACACAAATATGTCGGTCCCATGTCTTATTGTGTTACAACTTTATATATATAACTTAGTTTTGCTTACCACCAGTCTCCTGACAATGGAAGTTTGGGTCCAGGCCCTTGGCACAGGCTTTAGTTATTTTGTCGATCTGTCCGTGTTGCACGTTCTCGAGGAACCGGCGCAGATTTGCGCGGGAGTGGAGCGCTTTTAACGTCTTCTCGTCAAGTTTTAGCATCTTGTAAACTCTTCGCTTGTATTTCAACTGGAATAAATTAACAAATCATAAATTTCGTGTCATATTATATTTCTTATTATTTTGCCAATGTCATTATAGTAGCTAGGAGCGATTTAAACCTAACATGATGGGTTCAAATCCCGGTGCATCACTGTATTTCTTATGGAACATGTTTGTAACAAGTCCCGAAATACCACGGCGCGTCCAGCTCAAAAGGATCAGCTATTTGTATATATACAAAAAAGTCAAGAAACATAAGCGGATTTTTTGGTATCTATAAAAAAACCCTAAAATAATCAAGCCGCTATAAAGATAATATGTTGTCTGTATATAACTTATAAACCTGACAAATACCAGATTTATTCGCACTCGCAGAAATTTTGAACAGTTTGCAGAAATTCAACTAAATTAAACACTTAGATTTTGGAGTTTATGTAACTAATATCTAGTTCTAAGAGCATATAATATTATTTATTTTTATTTATTCAGTAATTAATTGCAAAAATCATTATCTTAATATATATAAATTACGTGTCACGTTGTTTGTCCGCTATGGACTCCTAAACTACCGAACCGATATCAATCAAATTTGCACACCGTGTGTAGTTTGATCCAACTTAAAAGATAGGATAGCTTACATCTCAATTTATATCCGCAATATTATTTTATTGCTAAATATTTGTTTATTATTTGATAGTCACAATTCTAACAGATGGCGCTGTGTTGAAAGTACCAACGTTTCACATAAGCTACAATTTAATGGCATAACCACCAAAAAAGCATGGTGGTCCCCATGACTGGTGTTCTCCTACCGTTTCCCTTGAATAGTTTGCTACTATGTAATATAACAAAAACCTTAGCCACAGCAACGCTTGGCCGGTACTGCTGTAAGTAAATAAAAGGAAGGTGAACGGGCCACTTTATTTGGTTTAAAACTACTTACGATAGACATTAAGAAAAGAACAAAACAACTTACTTCAAGATATCCCACAGGACCATTAAAGGGATAGTCTCCGAGCCGCCGCTCTTCGTCCAGGAACTTGCCGGCTTTTCCATTAACCGGGGGGCAGAACAGGCCATAGTTGAAGCTCTCCTTTAACTCCTGAAATGAGAAAAGTTCAATTAAATACTCGATAGGTATAAAAATAATGTATAATAAAATCTGTCTGAATTTACTGTCAAGACATCTAAAACGTTGTAACATAAAATATTGTTAATAAGTGTGTCAAAGTGTTGTCTATGTGTTGTTATCAATTTCGAATCAGCGACCACAACATCAAAGCGTAACAATCTCGCTTTCACATTTAATATATATTACGATGTTATATCTCATTGTTATATAAATGCCATAAGTGGTTTCCATCATGACCTTTCAAGTTGTGCAAACACACGCAAGTGACCACTTAACGTATGTACATTCTTAATCTCGTTAATAGTTCGGGTCATCAATCAAGCCCAACCTAGCTAACCATAACTTAAACTCGCATTATGAATCTTAAAGTAATCAGTTAGCAATTAAAAGTACTTGTTAAAAGAGTTAAGCGTAGGTTAAATCAACGTCAGTTTAATTACAGCTTAATGTCCAGTTGAGATTTATTTATTACGTCTACATGTTTATTGCACTTGTGATAAGAAAATATTACAACGTGTCTGATGATATCTGTGGCTCTTAGGAACTATTATAGAGGTACAGAGCATAAGATTTCTGTTTTCATAACTTATTGTTTAATGTCAATTCCACCCACCTGAACTGTCAAAAATGAAGCTTAGCCTAAATATTTATGACAAATACAAATTGACAGATCAGTAAAATACTAAAGTGTTGTGTATAGGAAAGTAATATAACATATATGATATTTATTAATCGAAACGTTTACTAAGAGGACTATATTAGTGTTAAACAGCTAATTATGAAAATTAAGCACTTAACGATTTATTAATATGATTGAATGCTAAGCGAGTCATTACGTTTTTTATTTTATAAAAACGCTAAGACGTTGTAAGGAAAACTAATAATGTGCATACAATTATGTATATGTCTTGCTTAAGGTCATCTTGTACCATGAAGTACATAAGCTAATAGGAGATCTACCTTGCGAGGCTGCAAGTGAAAAAAGGCTGCATTTAAGTGCCTATTGTAATAGGTGATCCTACTGACGTCGTATTTCGGGACTTGTTCCATCAGTATATGTTCCATAAAATTACAGTAATGCACCGGGGTTTGAACGCACCACTTAAGGCTTAAATTCCTTGCCTATGATTATAGGATTGGCGTAAAATAATAACAAGAAACATAACACGGAATTTGTGATTTGTTAAGTTGTAACAGAAATAAATGTTCAAGTACCATAAATCCCAATGCAATCCTTTAAGTAGTAGATATACTAGGGTAGGTCGAGTCCATGTTATCATGGATCATGGGAAATGCCCAAACACATTTTCACTCACGATACAATAACAAAGGGGTGTGTGTAGCTGTAATATTTTGTTTGAAACGTGCAAAATCGTCAGTGTCAGTCAATTTTGTAACTAATTTAAAGTTTCTTATTTGCTAAAATGATCGTTTCATCGACCATCAATCGTGAATTCAATTAAATTCCTAACTGAAAGATACTAGGTATACTAATTTATCGCAACAAACAATATAAACAAGTATAATGAATCATGAAGCCGCAGTAACGAACAACGATTTGCATCGACACAACGATTGATGGAGGCAGCGCCGTCAGAACTCATTGCATCGGACAACGGCGATAGGGTTACCTTTAGCGGGAGAATTTAAAATAACCTATTAAGAATTGTATTCGATCAAGTCTTTTAAATTATAGTAAGGAAATGGACTTCGGTATTTTCCTATAGATAGGTTTTTGAAAAAGGGAAGGCGTACGACGAAAGGCTAACACTTAAATTTTGGTTATACTTGGTTATACAATCAAATGTTGTTATATATTTTATTTTAAATAAGGAAACATGGCAGAACCATCATAAATACAAGATCTTTTTAAATAAATTGTCTCTGCAAAAAGACACATGTTAACATTACGAACTAGCCTTCTTTTAATTTTTTTTATATCCGGGGTGGAAATGCATTAGCGCATCCACTGCCCTTAAAAGTTGCAGGGGTATGTGGGAGTCGACCCACGCCAAAATCTCTGCTATTCAGAGACTGGGTGAGCAATACCCACTAAAACCACCTCTAGTAGTTCCTACAAAGCCGCGTTACAGAGGCCTATTTTACTAAAAGGGATATTTTACATAAGAAAGGGCAAGACACTGTTCTTGTGTACTATTTTTTTAACAATACAAGATATGTAAATATATATAATATACAAGTTATAATTAATAAGAAGATTTTCAATATACCATACACTTAGAAATCTATAATGTTGCCCCTAATCTCAGTCTGTCTGATGGAGTCAGAAATGATTCTCTTTATAAATGACCACACGCATTTAATTTATGACGCAGTGGATTGTAGTCCAAGAGATCTCTATCTCAACTCTTAAAACTTTTTACATCGCGATAACACTTATTTACGCTCTGCCCTGTTTTAAGAACAAAGGAATCTTAGAAGCGGATTAAACTACAGAACGATTAACTGTATAACGACTAGATATTTGATAAGAATAAATTAAACATCAGTTGAAGGTACGTTTTCGCTGGATCGGCGGAGTGGACTTGGACCTGCTGCCTCTGAAAGCAATCAGTTTCTCATTTCGGAAGCCAAGACAATATTTGGGTCGAAGAGTCAGCAGAGTGAGTGAAGATACTTTTACATATTCATTCGCGCTTTAAAATTGGCAGATAGGTCAATAGGCGACCTATAAGGCTGTATATTATAAGATAAGTAATAGAGTGAATGAATTTTCGAAATCCAAATTTTTGCATAATCCATCTCTTTGACTAGATATTTGAGCAGTTATGTTCCAGTAATTAGGTTACATATATCCTGCAGTACAATAAAATGTACATTAAATGTTCCATTTTCATAGAAGCTTTATTGAATATTCAGAAAGGAGCCATAAATAGTGAATAATTGGCTTTACGCTTTGTTTGTTGGTCAATGGGTAACCATTTAATGTTTGATAAATGTATTAAATACGAAATGTTTAAACGGTACAATACAAGTTGATAAATGTAAAGATCTATATTGTTATTGTCTATTTATATACTTTTAGAACTGAAATTACCGACTACGAGAAAAATAATGAAAAGGTGCAGTCTAGAGCGTTGACATCACTATAATTAGAAAAATAAAACAAGATTTTATTCCTTGAGCTGCGTCCCTTTGCGACGCCTTGTATGAATACTTGTTTTTATAGTTAATAAATAAAGGTTCATTATTGATAATTCAGTGCGTAGGATCCTAGATATTTTTGCAAAGTAGGCCTTTATATCAAAACTCATCAAAATATTGTAATTTAGATGAGTTTTGATTGTTCGTACCAATAAGTAGTCTTTAACGGTGTGATTGAACAGCCCAGTTTTGATTTCGTCACTTAGCAAATAAAAAAAGCATTTTTTATCATTCATTTTTAGAGAATTTTCGGAAAATTATATGTATGTTTCATGCATAAAATCATCTCTTTTAAAAGATATACATAAAAGAAAACAGTATATAACCGGTGTCATTTCTCGCGTTTACCTTCTAAATATTCATGAATAGCCAGATTTTAGGAGACATGTTAAAATTGACACAACGACTGAAGACTGTACAAAGATTTTCTGGTATTGTAGAATGGGTCTAACATAATAACAAATTTTGAATATCTTCTAGTCGATAAATACTTACAAGAGTTACTGTTGAGTCATTAATGATTATGCTAAGAAACAACATGTTTGATTACAAGTATTATTATAGTGTCTAGTTAATAACACTCTATAAATAGAATTCATGTCATAACACTGTTTATGCCTATTAGGTAATTTTACTTTTTTTTATAGAACAGGGCTCACTTGATATTAAGCGATATCACCGCCCATGGACACTCTCAATGCCAGAGGGTTCGCGTTGCCGGCCGGCGAATTGGATCAGAAATGTTTCAGTGGGTAGCTGGTTCCACATAGTGGAGCAGTGGCAAAAACCGCCTTAAAAAACGCTCAGTTGTGGAACGACGGACTTCGAGGTGATAGGGGTATTTTGTATAAACATTTATAATTCAATGGTACACATTAAAATATTAATAATAATTTATTAATACACGATATATAGAAATAGAAAGAACTGAAACTCATCTTTGAAATACTCAAATAATATTTTTGCCTATTTATTTATCAAGAACATTTTAATAATTTTGCGGACACATAATTATGTTGGTATCTAGCTACTAAAAAGGTAGGCTAAGTAAAAAAATAATATTACGGCGAAACGTGTTCGCGGGGGCGGCTAGCCGAATAAATTTACGTGGCAACTTAAGATTACCAAGGTCTTTAAATCAAAATGATAAATATTATGAAAGGATTGTTCTAGTTCAGCGTGGGTCGACGTTTTTTATTTCTATATAAGGCTTGAATGGGACCACGTTCCTACAATGGTATTTCCTTGTTTTTGCTGTCATAGTGAGGTACCTATAGCACCATATTTATTGAACAACTGTGTAATAGTTGATATTATATGAATGAGATTGACATTTATGGAATTTCTTCTTCATTATTATATTAAACTTACTAAGTTTTCAACTTAACAATACACTCAAGTTCATTTACCTTTCGCTCAAGTATGGTCAAGTCACATTTCTTTTATTCAAACTACTATTTTTCTAAAATGCATTTGCACTGAATTATTTCTTCTACGACGACGTGGAAAAATAGTATTATAAAATAATAATTAATCACGATATTCTTATACAACCTAAGTAAACACCAATTTCCCAATTAGAACAAATACATACGTATACGCATATTTTATACAGACGTTAGGTGTGCAAATTTGTCTCTTAGCGTGTAAGTTAGACCCATACTGATTAATAACCAAATTGCTAACGAAGAAATTAGCATGGCAAGACAGTGGGTGTCGGCGTTTGCATACAATACATGGATGTTGTCATCTGACGCTGTATTGACTTCTAGTTAATGTATAAATTAGTTATGCATAATATTATGGAATACAACAAACGCCTCCAAACCTTGAAGGGGCAAGAGTTCATGATTTTCTGCTTGTCTTTCATCATTACTCGTTCAAATTTAGAAGTCAATATTTTGATTTTTCGATTATTTTTAAATAAACTTTCAAATTTAGAATTTTATTGTATTTCCGAAGAAAAAAACTTTTTTATGGCCAGCAACTTTTAGCGGTCACTAAAAAGTTTAAATGAAAACATAGAACGTATCGGTTTTAAAAGTATGTCGTATGTCGGTTCATTTAAAACTTGTGTGTGACTTCAAAATGGTCCAGTTTAAGAAGCAGGCTCGAAACTAGGGCTTCTTGCAATCAATTTGTAGTTGCATCAGCTTCGTAATTGATGCGAGTAGTGATTGGAGACGACAGCAGACAGACTTGACACTTGTGATTAGGGTTGCCCACCACAGTGTAAAATAAAAAAGTATCTGTGTCAGTATATTGCGCATGAGTTTTAAGACTCGGCTTTGATACAAGTCCAGTGTGGCAGTTAACATTGATGCTTGAATCATGAAAATTCAGTTCATTCAAATAAAACTACAGCCGACATTTTCTAAAAGCGGGACAACTTTTTTGAACCAAAAATACTATTTTTTATGTTAATAATATTCTTGATACAATAGGTATAACCAATCCATACTATTTTATGATGATTTCGAAGGGAAGGTGATTAGATTTTTAAAGACACAGTGCCTATACCGTACGTAACAGCTTTATAACTTATAACTTAAATTTAGTATATACAATTTAATTACTTACGTTTTTGAATAGTGTATTAATTAATAAATAATATTTTATTGACATTTTGCATACTGATTTACATAAATCATCGTGCTGTTCTTTGAAATGTTATTCAAAATAAATATTTTATATAATATATAATCGTGACCAAAATCCACCATTTTTATCAATTAATTTTTTTCATGGGCAACTTATTATTATTAATAAATTAAATATATGTATAGCAGTAGAGAAGAGAGAGCTAGAAGAGGCCTACGTGTCTCACACAAATCACAATAGACCAATTATTTTGTTAATGTATATTTAAAATAAAATATGGTATGGTAACAAAAATAAAAGGCTAAATAATGTTTCAAACTCGGCAAAAGAGCAACGAAGAATCCTATAGATTTCCCTTAGTGTAATTTAAATTTCAATATATAATGAGCCAGTATGTGATAGGTTAACAACTGTGGTATTCCATGACGTAAGCCCTAGTTAAGTTGTCAGCTGGATTCTGTTATTATTTTAACGATAATATTATTGAATAGCAAGTAAAATACATCATCCTGTTATAATTTAATGCACAAACAATTTACGATGATTTATCATTCTATATTTATTATTTCTTACTTTATATGCAGTACAGATTTTTTACAGTGCAAATCAAAATATAATTTATTCATGTAGGCAACTCAATACAACAAACATTAAAAATTGACTGCTGGTTTCCAGTAATTTACGCCAGTAAGGGCGTAGATTGGACGACGAGAACTGGCAATAAACTCTCCGTCACTTTCATCGCTAAGTTTTTGCTTTTTTACGATGTTTATAACACCAGCAAAGTTTGCATTCATATCATAAAACGAATTCTCCAACTTATTACTCTATTATTAGTATACTCTCTCTATTTTTCTAATTCAAGTACTCTTGCAAACGATATCTTATTATATTTGTAGCAAAGATTGTTAGTACCTACTATATTTTTCGATACGAAATATGTTAAATGTGTATATGTAGATAATATATATAAATAAGCGTATCAAGCAGTTATTCGTAACATGCTTTTCGAAATAAGCTTACAACTTCAATCCGATAGTTTCTCACATAGTATAACAGGTGTGTCGCAATCCAGTGATAAACTGATAACTGATGCTTTGATAACTTGTCGTAACTTGAGCCGGTTTTTGCTGACACAGATTCACGATAAAAAAAAACTACAGTATAGGTATTGGGATCTGTATTGTGAAGCAATGATATCACAGTTAAGTGATAAGATTGCTGAATACAGCAAGAAAATGCTGCCAGCATTAAAAAACACAGCTAAAGGGAATAAACTTTTTAAATTTGTTTTAATTTTCTATTTATCAATTTTTTATTATTATTCATTTTTAGGTTAATATTGTAAATACTGTTTATTTGTATGTTGGAAATAAATATATATACCTTTTTCAATTGGAAAAGCTATATCTTAAAATTATATGGATACTCATATTTACAGTGTTATTACAAAACGTGGAATGTACTTTGTTTGTAGACCTACCTTATAAATGTAAATGCGGTACACGATTTATAAGGCCGATTTTAAAATAATTCCTCAATCGCCCTGCAGGAAAGTGAACAACCCAAAATCAAATCAACATTAATCATTAGTAATTGTTAGTTAAACGATTGTTGATTCGCCACACTATTGTATGTTAATTGATAAATACCCAAATTGCTGGGAGAAAGTGCTGACAGTGGTGGCAAATATGTGGTATCAGTCGTGACTTGAATTGAACTTGTATTCCGTTACACGAATAGTACTGTATTAGTTTTTATCTGCGAGATCTTTGAGTTTTTGTTATAGATGTTTGGGTTGGGAATTAACAATATCTGTAGCTGAAAATTCACTTTTAGATTAAAGGTTCCCATGAGATTACTCTACCTTTTTATACAACTACCTGCTAATTGGCTCAATGATATATCGTGCATGGATGCTTACTACACACATCCAAGCATCCGACATTGACATTGACACCATACCTAATTATTAAAAGACCTATCTTTTAATAATTAGGTATGGTGATAATTCGTTAATTTTATTTGTTAATTATAGAGCGCATTTTGCTCATGTTATGTCAATGATTTTTACTCAGTGTAACTAATTTCAGGATTTGAATTTAAAGGTATTTATTGGTATAATTATTATTAACAATCTTGTGTTAAGAGAAAACCCGGTAGACCGAGGCAGCGTTAGTGGGAGATTGCGATGACGATAGAAACTTACGGAGGCTAAGGACCATAAGGGGTACAGCCATTGATGATAACGATGATCATGAGTGAAAATTTTACAATGATTCTTTTCACAACATTTCTTCTCTTAAGTAAGTTTTATACATTACAACAGATTTTTCATAGAGAACTTTAAGTACGCTCGTGTCATCATCATCGATTAAATATGTACTAATCGCATTTGGAATCTTAAGATGCTTTGGCTTAAAATACCTGGTTGCAAGAAGATCCCAATCTTCTATAGATTGGATTCCATTAGGTTCATTAAAATTCACACAACTACCGGAGTGACCGTCGTGGTCACATCGTGGTTTTGCGACCCAAAAAGTGTCTTGGCCTCCGAAACGAAATCTTTCAGCGCTCCCTGTCTTATGCCACCTCCGGCAAATTGCTATATATGGTAGTAGTAGCACTTGAACGAGCTTTGTATAAGAAACTTTTTTGCCCCATTTTCCAATAAACATAACATTCGGTTAGATTGTCTGTGCATGACAATTGATTTACCTGTGCGTTTTATTTGTTCGTTTAAACGAAGCGATGAAATTGCTTTTCGGAACGTATTCTACAATGTTAAATGTTTTTGTTGAGTGTTTATTTTAAACCGCACTCAATTTAAATTAAATTCTGAAATAAAAGTATGCATATGACTTGGACTTTGATACGTCTAAGAAATAACGTCTTATTAGACTGTTTTAACTTAGCACTTTACTTTGCTTGTTTTTTTA